CTAATCAAATCAATACAAAGCAACAACAAAAAAAAACTACTTACAAAAAAACAAATGACACAAAGTACAGATTTGAGAGTACTCGCAGATATTGAAAGCTAGTCAAAGCAAATAACAATTACAAAATTTAATAAGAAAATTATGTATTTAAGACTACCTTCCGGCTGTTTCACTAACATTCTAGAGCCAATCATAACTAGGCTTCCAAGATGATGAAACCACCAGGACCCTAACTGTCGAAAATTAAGTATCATCTGCAATGCTAAATGCAGTTGCGAATGCACGAAGAGGGGCGGTGGTCTTGGTGTCTGAAATTCATTGAATGTTTACAATTGATATACGTCATAGTTCCTAACTATTTGGTGAAAATACGAACGAACGCAACTCGAGTGTGGTGTAATCGATTCCCTAGTTTGTACTGTTAATTTACCAATGTTGTTCTATTTCCGATCGTAACAAGTCTGGATTTGCTAGACTGGTGATGCATGAACGCTGAACTAATAATAACAGCTAACTTTGTCTAACTATATCAAAGAGAAAACCATTTCCGGATTTATTGATCCTGCGAACTGTCAACATTTTTTCAGCTCGAACGTAAAACTATTTATATCGGCGGATCTAAAACAATTAGTTAGGACTCGTATCGTTTGTTTCCACCGCCGCTATTTAGACTGCGAGGTATTGAAACGCATCAACACAAGAAGTTATTATTTCGGGATATGTTCTATGTAAAAATTATATTTTAAAATAGCATAATACACATAATTTAAGCTCGTTGAGGTTCTTGAAACTTTTAAAATTTTGTGTTTTCTAAATAATAAGAGTGTACACGCTGAAATGTCTCACCTGCTTTACGGACCATTGATTTTATGTTCATAATCATTCTATACACCGAATATAGTTAACCTATTGCTCATAGTAAACAAAAAACATACCAAACCAGGAAAACTTAAATTTAAATTGAGGTCAAAGTCAGATGTACTCTGCCAGATAGACATGTACACCTTAAAATCATTCCATGCATCAAACATAGTTGACCTATTGCATACAGCATTAGAAAAATCAGACCTAACACAAAAACTAAACTTTAACCACCGTTCCATGAAAATGAGGTCAAGGTTAGATGACACCTGCCAGTTGGACATATACACCTTACAATCCTTCCATACACCAAATATAGTAGACCTATTGCTTATAGTATCTGAGAAATAGACTCGACCACGAAAACTTAACCTTGTTCACTGATCCATGAAATGAGGTCAAGGTCAAGTGGAAACTGTCTGACAGGCATGAAAACCTTGAATGGTACGCACGTACAGTTATCCTTTGACTCATAATAAGAGAAAATTGACATTTCAAAAAATCTCAACTTTTTTTTCAATTAACTTTTTTTTCAAGTAGTCACATGCCGGAAATTTTAAATGTCCGGAGGCAATTACCATTTTTCATTAAAATCTTAGCTCAAAAAGCTATTTGTAAAAATTTGTGAGTTTTTCATATAAAAGAAAGAGTTTTTACAAAATTTGTCGTTTTTTTAAAACAAAAATAGACATGGATCTTACTTTATAGATATACATACTGATATCATATGAGGCAAATTGGCTTATAATACGAAATGAATATGTTGACGGATGGACGGGCGACCGGGCGGACAAACAGTAATTGATGTAGGGCATCACGGCGTTCTAAAAAAAAAAAAAAACCAAATGACATTGAAACATTATATCCCAACATTTTGATTTCCCAACAAGAGTGAATGGGAAAGTCATGACATCCAGTCTTTTGCTGTTCCAATTACAATGATATATTTTCATATAATTACAAAAGATTTGAATGCCTTCAATGATTTTTGCAATTACAAATAAGCCAAACCGGATCTTTCACGATCATAAAAAAGTGGTTCCGATCTTTCACGATCATAGATATCACACTTTCAGATTAAGCTACTACAAAATAATTTTATGAACCATTTGAAACATTAATATAGTACGACAATATTCAAAGAGCAGTAATTTATTCATTCATATGATGAAACAAACTTGTTTGTTTACATTTTTTATATCATTGAAATGATACAAAGCAATCTGCCTTTATAGATTTGTAAAAACGGTTATCTTTTAAACTGATTTTCAGATACTTGTCATAATGAAGAACTATTTTGAGAGACTTTTTGTTCTTCCAGATTTGTCCTTATAAATTGACATCTTATATAATCTATCGTCCTTGAATGTGTTTTCTCGAGAAGATTTCCTTCACGATCTTATACCATATCTTTCACAATCCTATCGCAATACTTGATTACCATTACTTATTCTTTCACAATCATTTTTCTCGATATACTGACTGACAGCCTTTTGATAGTTTTAACTCACTGAATACTTAAACTCATAAAACGAAAAAAAAAAAAGGTTGACAATGCCATGGCAAAAATCGAAAAACAACAAAACGACAAACAGTATACAAAACACAACATAGAAACTATAAACCGTTGGTTTTCCCGTTTGAATGGTTTTACACTAGTTATTTTTGGGGACCTTTATATTTATAGCTTGCTGTTCGGTGTGAGCCAAGGCTCCGTGTTGAAGACCGTACTTTGACCTATAATGGTTTACTTTTATGAATTTTGACTTGGATGGAGAGATGTCTCATTGGCACTCATACCACATCTTCTTATATCTATATATAGACTGAGCCAAACGAACCCCACCAAAAACTGAGGGTGATTACAGGTGCTTCGGAAGGGTAAGCAAATCTTGCTCCATATGTGGGTCCCGTCGTGTTGCTCGTGCAAGTACAAACCCGGTAATAAGTCTAATGCGGTAGGTCACACAAGAGGAGAAGAGGACCGAATTGTGGTTTCGACAATATGAACATATCTGACATCTGTCAAAACAGACATTCCAAAACTGAGCAATCATTTAAACAGTTTAAACAAATTTTGAGCATCATATTATTAAGTGAATTCCCTCTATCTCTTAATAATGAAACAATTCAGATTATTCTATATTTGAAAAATTTAACATACTAGAACTTTTTTCTAATGCACATCTTTTAATGTATTTTTCATTATTAGCATGTGGCATCTTTTGGAAAATAATTACTTCGTTTGCCTCTTTGTACACATATACAAGTTTTCATTGGAGTGCAAGATTTTGACAATACAATTTCAGTTTTTATTGTAAAAAAGTATGCCCTCTTCCAATTAAAAAGAGCAAATCACACACTGATAGAAAATGATAAAGTGGGGAGAAAATCATGAAAGATTCGGTTCAGGTTGGGATTTCCAATAACAAAATCAGAAACTGCAACAAGACATATATACGTCATATATTTGCATTCAACCTAATATAAAAGTCAATTGATTGTCTTTTTTTTAAGAGTTTCTTTCATTTATATAAGGGTTCAGCATTTATATTATTGTAGATATCCTTTTAAATGCATATATGACTGTCTGTTATGAATCAATATTACAATTGCGTTACGGAGAAAGGGTTATGTCCTATTAATTCATAACCCATAATTTAAATGCTGATGCTTTGGTCTTTGAAAAACTACAAGGAAAGCTACATTTTAAAATGTTTTGCAATAATGCTATCGGTGGCAAAAAAAAGTTCAAATTATTTTCTATTTAAACTAAATTTATTTGTATAAGAGAGATGCTTCAAATAAAAAAAAAATACATAACCTTGCAATTTTTTTTTATGTTTACCATTGCTTTGATAGTTTGGCTTCTAATCTAGTCTTATATCTGACCCATTAATATTGAAAATTGAGGCATTAATTAGCAAATTACTTTCACACTCAATATGTAAAAACCAATTTAGACTGAAATTATGTAATTCGAACAGAAACTAGAAAAAAAAACTAGATCTTAAAATACCATTGGAAACCGTTTTCAGATTAAAGAACATAACTACCACACATGGAAACTAATTATAATGTTAAGACTGAAGGTAATTGGTTTTTTTTATTAGTATTGGTAAAGTATTCCATTAAGATCGACTAAGCACCTACTTTTTCATCGATTAAACTAATCTTATTCTAAGAGACTTGTTTTAAGGGATATGTCTCTTTAATTAATAGAAGCAGAATTATTAGAAGAATGCATACGCTCTCTGATAATTGGAACTAGAGGCTCTAAAAAAATAACCTAGGTTTATGTGCATGATCAACAATGGACTCTCTCCAACATTGTAGATCAGAATAGAATTCATGACAAAACATTTTTTTTTGTTGATCTTGTATTGCTGATCATTTTTTCTGTTTAGTTTCTCTCTATCTTCTTTAATTTGTGCTCAAAACACAAAAGAGGGTAAAACAATCCTCATTTGGAGGCAATTGCTCCTATGAAGAATGACAGTCTACTAACTATATCGGCAAAATTTGACTTCCTTGTGGATCTTGTCTTGCTGTTTTTTATGATTCATAGAAACAGCTGTATTGTCAAAATGTCAACAGGAAGTTCAAATTGAAGGGAGAACATTTTGGTAGGAACATGTACTCAAATTAGTATTGTTAAATCTTGATATATTTTGGTTGCAATAATTCAAATATTATAAAAGTATCACACACAATCTTTACCAGACTTAAAAGCTACATATAGGATTACCTTAAAAGGCTTCACTAGTATATGAAAAGTACATTCAAGTTTTTTTATATTAGTATAAAAAACAATTTAGTTTTTTATATTAATATAAAAACTGGTTGGACATCTATAATTTCAACTGGAACTTTAAAAAATATTTTGGGACCCAGCTGGTCCCTTGAGAAAACAAGATAAGTTTTGTCCCTTACAGTGATGGTAAAACACCTTAACCTAATATGGAAAGGTAGACTTGGGGTCTAATGAATGGACACACAGACTAGAAAACATACCAGTAACGCCCCCCTTTAATAGTAAATGGGGCATAAAACTTTACCTCTAACAGTCAAATTGGAGTAAATGTTTCATTTTTTTATGAATTTATCATATCAATAATTTATGCATGAAATAAACAAAGAACATATAATCCTTTAATAGCGTTGACATGAATTCATAAGGAACAGTAAAACCCTGTGGTATATGACCTGAAAACAAAATACACCTATGATAACAAACATAAATTCATAAGGAATTGTAAGACCCTGTGGTATATGACCTGAAAACAAAATACACTTATGATAACAAACATAAATTCATAAGGAATAGTAAGAACCTGTTGTATATGACCTGAAAACAAAATATACTTATGATTACAGTCAATAACACTTTGTGTTAATGACATAAAGCCACAATACGTAGTCTATTTGTAAAAACAGTGATCTCCGAACTATTCCAATTACAAATTGTAAACCCCCCCCCCCCCCTCAAACAAAACCAACAAAACAAAACAAAAACAAACTGAAAACAATTAATATCTCCTCTTTATACTTTATAAAAAGCTTAAAATTTGTTAAGCATGATTGAAATTTCAAACTACTGAGCTTACAGTTCAAATGCATTATATTTGATCACGATTACTACCAATCTAATGCATAGAGACGTTGGTCTTCAATTTAAGTTTTTAAACCATCAAAATGGATATCTTATTGCTAGTGAGGATTGAAGGGTAAATATTGCATTCATTTTGAAGTAGGAACTAAAAACTCTACATTTCATTTTATTAATAATTGGAATGCATCCTTTGTTTATAATTATGGACAAAGGAAGTTATCTCAAATTTTGATGTAAAGAATGTTGCGCTCAATGCACTTTGCTTTATTTTTTAATTTCTGAACAGTAGTAATAAATTCCTGATAATAAAACAAGCCAACAAGCCTTATGATTGCATGAATGACTCCAAAAATAGAATTTCAGAATGCCTTACTCTTTTTCGATTATAGAAAATTCAGAATAAGAAGCAGATATGATTGTTTACCAAAAAATGAAACGTAATTTACTATGTATGATTTACTTTAATTTGTTGACCCTTGACCTGTCATCATTTTCATGATATCAATGTATACACTTTTTCTAGATGACTTTACAGTTGAGAATTATAAGTTTGCCCTTCACATGAATAATGTTGATTTGTATTAGTATTTATGCATGATACATCTTTTACGTGATCAAGAAATATTCTTATATATCGGTTGTTTTTTTTCTTTTAAATAAAATCTCTGACAGAAACTCAATCAAAGGCTAGTTCTAAAGTCACCAATAGCTAAACATTGTCAACAGACTCGAGTTTTGATAATCCTAATTGACAAAGAGTGACATAGAACATATATAAAGTAATCTAAAAATCACAAAGGATCTGCCCCACATATTTTCACAATAGAACCAATAGCATTTGGATCATCTTCATTATTTTCTTCTGATGTTTTTAGATACAAGGCATTTGCAAAACTGTGGGTTTTAGGTTTATATGAGTCATTCTGTCTATTGAATCTTATGATAAATAAAATGGCTGCCACTATTACAAAACATCCCAAAATACCAATTAGAATTCCAATTATTTGTCCTGTTGTTAAACCTGTGGTTACTCCTGAAACTGAAAAAAAAAAATGAAAATGAAAAATATGATATAAAAAATTCTTCTTTACAGTAAATTTCTATAAGTAAAGAAATCGTATTGATCGATGCGAGGACGTAAAGATTGCTTTTATTTTCAGTCAGGAACTAAAAACTGAACATTGTATTGCATTTAAAGGCAATACTATGAATGGAGATATCTTTCTTTGTCCATTATTGTATCAAAATATTTGAGTCATAAGGTGTACTTATTGCATATAACTGACGTTTGCTTGTTTATTATGTGAACAATGTAGCTGTTACATAAACAAACTGGTTACACTGATTTTTATTCATCCTTTTGTTACCTGTTCCGTGATGGATCATAATTTGATTAGCTAATAATTACAGATTCTTCTTCTCTCATAAAGAATAAACAAATGTATTCATTTTATGGTCTTCCAAGCAATTTCATTGTTTTTTTGTATATACTCAAACAGATAAGTTGTAACAGTAGTTTCATGAAATTCTTTGATTGCAATAACTAGTTTAAACTAAAATTCAAATGTATAATATCTACACAAGAAAGATTTGATACTTAAATGCTGTAACAGAATTTACTGTAAACTACCATAAAGAATAATTAACCTGAGTAAACATATCTCATGTTATATTGATGACACGTTATAAGGTTAAGTAAATTTATATTTAATTCTAAATCACTGAAAATTAGTGATGCATAAGATACAGTACTAGTGCAAATTCAGTAGTTTTTGCCTGCATTTATTAATGCAATCGTTGAACAGACAAAGATAAGAGACTAGTTATTGTGATTTCAAGAATGCTGCATATAATAATGCTATCAAGATTTTAAAACTTGAGTTTTTATTATTACCAAACCTATATCCCGACGCAATTATCCAAATAATAAAAATATCCCAAAAATGTCTGATTTTACAGTCCTGTTTATCTTGTTCTCATTTAATTTGCTGAATGGATAAAAAGGGTTGAATGATTGAGCTGTATGATAAAACTCTGATTTCCTTGAAGATAAATTAAGACTATGTTTGGTTCAAACTTCTGAGGAAATCTTTAAAAAGAAAACAGACTATGAACAATTTGGCCAATGTACAACAATTTTTCACACACAAAACCTTTAAGACATTAGAGCAAACATTGTTAATACTAAGGGGAGGAAAATCTCAAAAGGAGATAACCCTTCTAAATCAGTAATGTGTCTGTAATAGCCAGTTTCAACAAGGTTTTTTATGCTTTCATGTGAAACAGTATTTCTAACATTCTGTGTTAATAGAAGCTTAGAATATATGTGAAGATATATAAAATGTATGTCCCTTCTAACCTAAGTCTACCTACTTAAACAATGAATTAATGAAATCTATCATTCATGATTAAATACCTCTTTTTTGACTGACAAATTCATCATCTCTTGGTTTTGCTACAAGTGGTGTTGTAGTTGTTGGTAAATATGTATTTGTTACTTCAGTTGTTTCTATGGCAACAGTGTTTCCTGAAATGAAAGAAAATCATTATAATAAAATAAGTCTACAATTTCTGCCATGATGACATAGGAAACTGACATGGCCTTATTCAAGTTTGCCATCTCCTGGGTAAAGATAAGAACTAGGGTTCCACAAACATTGATAACCAATGATTACAAAGTTTGCATTACCGTATGTTCCAAAATTCTTTAAAAAAACTGATATGATTATTCCAAGAAAAGATATCTAAAGTTCATGTTAACATCACATTTGATGAAAAGATATCTTAAGTTTTTGTCAACATCACAACTGCCTTACTTTTATTCAAACATGTTCTAAACTTGAATAAAAGTAGAAATTGAGTAAACTTCAATGAGACAGAAAATGGACAAACTAAAAAAAAACGTCTTGAGGTCAATATAAGGTATTCAATAAAAGCCAAAATGTGTATAAATATTTCAAGCTGTTAAATGTACCCATGAGACAGAAATCAGGCATAACAAAAACAAAAGGCTTCAATAACAGATAAATGTGTTTAAAATATTTCAAGCTGTGAATTGTACCCATAAAACAGGAACCAGGCATAACAAAAAAAAAAACTCTAAACATCTTAGTCAATTTAAGGTCTTCAATAACAGTCAGATGTGTATAAAATAATTCAAGCTGTTAAGTGCTTTGAGTTAAGAAATAAACTTACTGGAAATGTTTTTTATGAACCAAAACAAATGTTGCCCTTCATTCCCAAAAAGTGATTTCTAAACTATCTATGATATGACCCTCCTGAGAACAACATCTATGTTTCACTAGAAAATTCTTGTCATGACAATTAAGAAAATATATGGTTTAGAAATTGTATAAAAGCTTAAAATTTGCAGTTTTTATAGCAACTAAAAAGTGTCTACCTTACCTAAAATGTGACTTGACAACTGTAACAATAGAATATAAGCTGTACACAAATTACAGAAGAGGAAGTGGAATCTAAATTTAATAGGATTGTTTATAAGTATGCTTGGGTAAGAATTTTTTAATGAATCGCAAAATGTGGAATGCAATACTAAGTTGTCACAGTACTCTAAAACGGCAAAGCTGAACAGCTTAGACACTAGCATGATTTTTACACTGTTTTTTAAAAACTTTTGGCTACCATTCCTCATTTATGTCTTTTTTTAAATACCCCTTTCCGTATTTATAGTTTTTTTAATTTCTCTGTTTTGTAGATGCTGCATAGAATATGATGTAATTTGTATATGCTGAATGGAATATCATGGTTTTTTGTAGATACTGCATAGAATATTATGTTTTTTTTGTAGATACTGCATAGAATATCGTGTTAGTACAAATTTGAAATAGGTTTCAATTTGGAACTTTTTCACTACCTGTTTTTCTAAAAAATAATAACTTTTGAAATAAGAGGATCATGAGAGCCTAATATCACTCACCTGTAATTTCAGTTTTAGGCATTTGACTTATTTGTATATCTGAATTTGCTGAACAATTTTATCATTACACTTTCTCTCTTTCAATAATAATATTAAAGATAATACATATTCCAAAACTGTAAAATTTCCTAAAAATTAACTATTTCTGGACAGTAACCTAACATTAAGTTGTCCTATTGGTCTCATTACTTGACAGGTAGATCTTAACATGTTCACCTATGTCAGTTTTGTTCTTACTGCTTTAGTTTAAGTGATGAAAGCCAGAAACTTCATTTCACCCCTATGTTCTTTTGTAAGAAATTGCCGCCATGTGTTTGAATGGATCAAATACCCGAATACAATCTATAAACTAGATACCCTAAGGAACAGTATTTGGCCAAGTAGTTTCAGAGAAGAAGATTGTTGAAAAAGTAATAAGACTTTTACATAAAATGTTTAAAAAAAACGTTTTAAGGGCAATAACTCCTAAAGGGGTTGACTTATTTGTAGATCTTACTTAGCTGAACATTTATTGCCATTTACACTTTCTCTCTATTTATTATAGTATTAAAGAAAATAACCAAAAACAGTAAAATTTAATAAAAATAAACTATTTCCAACAGTAACCAAACAATGGGTTGTCAAAATTAATAATAGATAGAACATGACCCTATTATTACTCCCTTTCACGTTTGCTATAACTGCTGTAGTTTTTTTTAGATATAAGCCAAAAACTGATTTTGTCCCTTATGTTCTATTTTAAGCCATGGCCGCAATGTTTGTTGATGGATCAAAACATCGGATACATTTTATAAACTTAACACCCTAAGGAACATTCAGTTAAAGTTTTAAAGTATTTGGCACAGTAGTTTCAGAGTAGAAGATTTTTTAAAAAGTAATAGACTTGCACGAAAAAATGTAAACAAGAGGCTCTCAAGAGCCTGAATCGCTCACCTGTAATTTTTTCCATAAATCTTTCATCAATGATTATTTTTGCTTTTCAATATATATTAATGAGTGGCTTAAAAATGCCATTTAAATCTTTGCATCTGTCATATTTTCTTAAAAGTAAAATAATGCATTTTACCCCCATGTTCAATTTTAGCCATAGTGGCTATGTTTCTTGAAGTACAAGAAAATAAAATACAAAATTTAAACAAGATACTCTGAAACTCATTCAGCCCAAGTTTGGCTGAAATTGGTTTAGCAGTTTCAAAGGAGAAGATTTTTTAAAGTAAGCAAATTAGATTAGATAAACAAATTGTGAAAAATTGTCTTTAAAGGACAATTACTCTTTAAGGAGTCAATTGACAATTTTGGCCATATAAAAACTCATTTGTAGATCTTACTTTGCTGAACATTTTTGCTGTTTACCGTTTATCTTTATCTGTAATAATATTTAAGATAATAACCGAAAACAGCAAAATTTCCTTAAAATCATCAATTCAGGAGCAATAACCTAAAAATCAGATACCCGATTTGGCTGATAATTTCAGGGCGGGTAGACCTTGACCTAATGAATACTTTAACTTCTTGTCTGATTTGCTCTAAATGCTTTAGTTTTTGAGATATAAGTCAAAAACTGCATTTTATCCCATGTTCTATTTTTAGCCATGGCAGCCATGTTTTTTGACAAAACAGAAACTAAAACACAAACTTTATTTTAAATAATCTAAGAATCATTCAGTTTAAGTTTGGTTGGAATTGGTTCAGTAGTTTCAGAGAAGAAGATTTTAAAAAGTTAGAAAAAATGATAAACAAATTGTGTAAAATTGACCTTAGTGGCAATAATTCCTTAAGGGGTTAATTGAAAATTTTGGTCATACTAACTTATTTGGAGATCTTACTTTGCTGAACATTTTTGCTGTTTACAGTATATCTTTATCTATAATAATATTCAAGATAATAACCAAAAACTTCAAAATTTCCTTATAATTACCATTTTAGTGGCAGCAACCCAACAATGGGTTGTTAGGTTCATCTGAAAATTTCAGGGCTGATAGAACTTGACTTATTTAACATTTTTACCTTATTCAAATTTGCCCTAGATGCTTTAATTTTGGTTTTTGAAATATAAACCAAAAACTGCATTTTACCCCTATGTCCTATTTTTTGCCATGGCGGCCATGTTTTCTGACGAAATAAAAAATAAAACACAAACTTTATTTTAGATACACTAAGGAGCTTTCAGCTTAACTTTGGTTGGAATTGGTTCAGTAGTTTCAGAGGAGAAGATGTTTGAAATAGATTACACCGGACGGACGACGCCGGACAACGACGGACGCCAAGTGATGGCAAAAGCTAACCGGCGAGCTAAAAATAAATGTTTCAAGGGCAATAACCCCTTGTGACTGAGGAGTCAATTGACTATTTTGATTATTTGACTTATTTGTAGATCTTACTTAGCTAAACATTTTTGCCATTTACACTTTCTTTCTATCTATTATAATATTTAAGATAACAACCAAAAACAGTATAATTTCTTAAAAATAAACTATTTCGGACAGTAACCCTTGGTGGTCCAATTGGGTCTGAAAATTTCATAGCAGATGAGTCTTGACTTATTCATCACTTTAACTGCTGTCACTTTAACTGCTGTCACTTTTGCTCTAACTGTAATAGTTTTTGAGATAAAAGCCAAAAACTGCATTTGACCCCTATGTTCTATTTTTAGCCATGGCGCCATGTTTGTTAATGGATCAAAACTTCAGATAAAATTTACAAAACAGTTACCCTAAGGAACATTCATTTAAAGTTAAGAAGTATTAGGCCCATTAGTTACTGAGGAGAAGAATTTTTTAAAGTTAGAAAACATGATGAACAAATTGTGTAAAATTGTCTTTAAAGGGCAATAACTCCTTAAGGGATCAATTGACAATTTTGTACATATAACGTTTTTGTAGATCTGACTTTGCTTAACATTTTTGCTGTTTACAGTTTATCTTTATCTATAATAATATTCAAGATAATAACCAAAAAAATGCAAAATTTCCTTAAAATTACCAATTTAGTGGCAGCAACCCAACAATGGGTTGTTTGGTTCGTCTGAAAATTTCAAGACTGATAGATCTTGACCTATAAAACATTTAACCCTGTCAGATTTGTTCTAAATGCTTTAGTTTTTGAGATATAACTGCATTAGACCCTATGTTCTATTTTTAGCCATGGCGGCCATGTTTGTTGATATATCAAAGCTTCTGATCAAAAAATTATAAACTAAATACCCTAAGGAACATTCAGTTAAATTTTGAAGGTATTTGGCCTTGTAGTTTCAGAGAAGAAGATTCTTGAAATAGTTTACGAAAACAAAGACGACGACGACACACGCCAAGTGATTGCATATGCTCACATGGGGCGCTTTGGGCCGGGTGAGCTAAAAAATGTACAGGCTTGAAAAAATGTTTAACAGATAAAATCTAACCTGCTTTTGTTGTAGCTGTAGTGGCGATTGGTGGTGTAACTGCTCTATCTGAAAAATAAAGACAACAGTAGTATACCGCTTTCGAAATTCATAAATCGATTGAGAAAAAAACAAATTCGGGGTTACAAATTAAAACTGAGGGAAACACATTAAATATAAGAGGAGAAGTACGACACAACAGAAACACAACACTAAAATGTAACAAACACAGAAACGAACTATAATATAACAATGGCCATTTTCCTGACTTGGTACAGGACATTTCAAGAAAAAAATGGTGGGTTGAACCTGGTTTTGTGGCTATCCAAACCTCCCGTTTTATGGCAATGTTAAATATAACATTAAAATGACAACATTACATGACAGGACTAATATACTAATACAAATAAATGGGAGAACATATAGGACAGAGAAACATACGAACAGCTAACAAAAGGTGCCAGGTTTAAAATTTAATACGCAAGACGCGCGTTTAGTCCACACAAGACTAACCAGTGACGCTCAGATAAAAAAGTTGATCGATCTATCAAAAAATATTTATTACAAACATTATCTACCAATCAGAAGAGCACAGGATTTCAGTGTTATACAGAAAGCTCTCCCCTAAATTGGCGGTCCCTGATGACGTATGTTTATTTACTGAATTTACCCCTATAAGGGACCTTTTTTCCTCATTTCCAATGTTTCCTCATTTCCAGATGTTTAGGCAATCTGGACTTCTTCAATCAGATCGTTGTTGAGGAAACCATTTTTCACTTTATCATTTCGGCTGTCTTCTTTTCAGATTTGAAATATTCAGGTCAAGAACAGCTGACAGATAAGTCGATTGTTGACTTATTTTTACACAACCAATTTATTAGTTCGAGATACAACTTTGATATTAGTTCACAACTTGTACCATTCTGGAAGGAGGGATGTTTCCTTAAATTTCCTCATTACTTGTATTAGTTTCCTTTGAAACGCCCGTTCATATTTGACTTGACCCCAGATTTACCCTCTTAATATCTTCTTCCTTTCTATGTTTATCTAGGTATAACCAAAACGATATACACGGTTTCTATCAAACGGTTACTATTGTAAACAACTAAACTTAAATACAATAAGTCACAATGCAATAATCCTATAACATCATCTCTACAATATCTTGTTATGCACTAATCCTCAACAATAATCTTATAACATTATCTCTGCAATATCTTGTTATGCAATAATCTCCAGCAATAATCCTATAATATTATCTCTGCAGTCTCTTGTTGTGCAAGGGGCCTCGGTGGCTGAGTGGTCTAAGTAGTTACTACTGTTATCACTAGCCAGTCAACACCGAGGTTGTGAGTTCGAACCCCGCTCGTGCGGGTGCACTCGACTCCAATCTTAATTTACTAGGATTGTCAGTTTTCCTATCGAAGGTCGGTGGTTTTCTCCGGGCACTCCGGCTTCCTCCACCAATAAAAACTGGCCGCCACGAAATAGCCCAAAAGCGGTGCTTAAAAGTGGCGTTAAAACACAAAAAATCAAATCAAATCTTGTTGTGCAATAATCCTCAGCAATAATCCTATAATAGTATCTCTGCAATGTCTTGTTATGCAATAATCCTCAGCAATAATCGTATAATGTTATATCTGCAATATCTTGTTATTCAATAAGCAATTGTAATTCAGCACATACATATTTATTATAAACTAGGTGGAACTGTGAACTAAAACTTATGTCTCGTTTTCTTCTATATGAGTCACTTTAGAAAAGAAAAGGCACAACAAACACATTGTAGATCTGGAAAGGTAGGGCATGGCAAATAAGATAAAATTGACAAAGGAAACAGGGAATTAGTCAGAGAGACAATAACCTGACCAAAGCATGCATATAGCAACACTAATGAGTCTTCAAACACAGTAAGAAAATCCCGCACCCTTGAACCGTGGGCTTCAGTTGGCCCCTAAACAAATAAACAAATCTATTTCTTATTGGCAATCATTCCATATCTTCTTTTCTTTCTATTAATGGGTGGGAATCTTCATTGTTTTCAATATTTGTAACAATTGATATGAGGGAATGGGTCATGACCACCAGTCCCCAGTCATGGAACAAATTTATGGTGCACTAAAAAGGTATTATGGTAATTCAGAATACATATGGTTTATATTTGGGGATTTACAAATATTTGATATATTCAAGAACTTACTATAAAGGAGGGTGGTGCATGACCCAAAGGTCAAAACCTATGGTGCACTGTAAACACCTTGTCATGATAATTTGAATATATAAACGGTTTAGATGTTGGGGATTTGAACCATTTTTAAAATATTCAAAAGTTAATTATCTGAAAGGAGCAGGGCATGTTCCCCTTAGTGCACCAGATATGTTTGATTATGGCAATTAAGAATTAATATATGGGTTTAGAGATTGTGATCTGAACAATTTTTAAGATATTCAACGATTTATTATATGATGAAGTTGGGCCAGGGCCGAACCCTTAGGTGCATTGATAGTCATGTCATGGTAAAAAAAAAAGAGAAAATACATGGTTTTCATGGTTTTGGAACGATTATTAATAAAGTTCTAAAAATCAATTATTTGACCCAAAATATCATAATTTAAATTTCTGTAAACCTGATATCAGAGCTTCACTAGTATAGTATACAAACCTGTGTCACCACTACAAATAAATGGTCTTTCATAATCATGACAATTGATATCATTCCATGTCCCATCTGGTCTCATTTCCACACATTCATCGGATGTACTACTATGCCATGATGTTGAAGGCTCCCCACTGTTCCAGTTTTCAAATGTCTTTGAAGATGAGTCTACCCAAGACCAGGCTAAAAATATTAATAAAGCAAATTATAAGACGGCATATGAAAACAGAAATATGAACTACTTAGGTTACTCATAACCTTTCATCAAATATAGTGGTATTAACACCAAAAATTCTACTCTGGGTACAGAAAAACCAGTGCACCTGGAAAAAGCATGATGGGACCTATATAAAATAAAATTTTGATGCATTTTAAGTTTCAAAATCGTAAAAATTTAACTGGATTTAGCTGTTCATTTTTGTTGTTCCTGCAGACAGTGCCAAAATAAACTAAGTTGGGAAAGATGTATAAGAACTCCCCTCATATAAAAAAATGTGGTGAACTGATTGACATGAACAATATAGATCTACTGACAACAGATGATTTAAACTGCAACTGAGTGGACCGTATCAAGTCAAACACAGGTGATAATTTATTTTGCCATCTTTGCAGACTAGAAAAAAATGCTGATCAAAACCCATGTAAGTTTTAAATTTTCTGAAACATAAAATGCAAAAACCTTTATACATCTAGATCCAGCCATGCCTTAGAATTTTCTTAGATGTATCAGATTAGTCTGTACTCTGAGAAGATTTTGTGATGTAAACATAGCCATATTTGTAAATTTCTTTTGATGAACCTTAACATACTACAGGTATAAAATATCATTTCTAATCACGTTTTTTGAAAAGTGTGAATACAGATTTTATAAATATCAAATGTGGTTCGATGATATGATATGTGAACAAAATGGCAGTTCCTGGCAAAACATGGGGCTAATTCCAAAACATTTTGGTTAAAATTGTATACTGTACAAGTGTCACTCAAATCAAGTTTAGGTCATCAAATTATTATAAAATCACTTCCTTGTATGTTCTTTCATGTACCATTTATTAGCTATACTTATGGTCTATAGATAACAGTTTAAAGGGGAGAGTATTACGATATCTCAAATCCTTAGGTGAAAACTGCTACATATATATTTGCTTGTCCTAAGTCAGGAACATCATCAGTGATTGTTTAATGTCATATCTTAATGTTTTTTCGTTATTTGCAGACCTGCCATCATTCTTGATTTATTGGGAATTTCTGACACGAGTGATGCTGAAATGCATCTTGAAATCCTTGATTATTTAAACTGAAGATTTCCCAGAGAGATAAAAACCGATAATTTCACAAAAAAAGTCATGTGAAATAAACGTGGTTATCTCACTCCTCTGACGTCATACAACAATAGGCGTTGTCAAGACGTCGATAACGTTGGATCAAAACAAATTGTGAATGCGTAGAAAAAGATATACTTCCTTACATTTTCTTCTTTAATTTCATAAAAAAAAAAGCCATTAACCAATGTTATTAAGAGATAACTAATCAAAGAATTCAAATATCGAAAAATATTCAACTCGTGACCAAACAACACTGATAATTGACTCATGCGCTACACGCATTCGTGAATTAATGTGTTGTTCGGTCACTAGTTGAATATTTTATTTCTATTTGAATTCTTCGATTAGTTATTCTATAAATATACTCATTCAAAACCATAGTATATGAATAAACCTTTAGTGAGGAAGCTCACATACCTAATGCCCCTACTAATTAATTTGGATATTTTTTAAAGTTCCCCTTCCTAAAAAAAGTCCCCAACTTAAGATCATTCTGCTTATCTTTCTCCTTCAATTTTTTTTTGTAATGGAAACCTTCATCCAAATCTGATGAGGATCTGTTGAAAATGAAAGAGCAATCTAGGCGACGAGTTAAAAGATGGGATTTTTACCAATTTAGACTTTTCTGATTAACAAACACATGAGTGGTTGTGATGAGGGAAAACATTTATCCAAATCTGAAAAGGATTTGATAAATCAATAAGAAGTATATTAAAGCTTGGAGACAAGAAAAAAATCATAATATTTCTTAAATCCAGCTGATCTGAATGGGTAGTTATTCTTTGGTTAAATATTACCCTTAGTTAAATATAATTCAGGGTTAATTATCTAAAAATTGGTTATGTGACCAAGGGCAAAAGTTATGTTACTCAACTTCTTTTAACCCTTGATCATGTCTAGTCTCATTTCAACTGTTAAAGGATGAACAACAGAAAATAACCTTGGTTTAATTTTAAACAAGGGCTATAATATTTAACCCTAAGTTTAAATTTAACAAAGAGATGAACAATTGGGTGCTGTAGTTTTGAAAAGAATCCCACAAAAAAAGGAGGCTAAAAATTGTATTCCCTCTTTTGTTGACTAACAAACTTGACATAAACTTACATTGAGAAAATCTATTCAGCTTGTTCAATCCGATCCAAACCTCCAATCTGCTTCCAGCCAATTTTTGGATCAAATTAATCAAATAATCTATTTGATCAAGGTTTTGTATGCTAGTCAATGTTAATCCTTTGTTATCACATTCTTCCTTTGCTTTGAACCATGTCAAAGGATTATGTAGAATTGGATAATAGCATTTGTCCCCAAATACATAACCACCTTGCGGGCAAGTGGACTGATCTGCTGCTTTCGGTGGTGATACTGAATAGAAAAAATTACAAAATTACTTTTTTTTTTCATTTTGTCATTTAAATTCATTCATCCTGCAGTGTTTAGAATATATTTCAAGAATTAGCTTTGGGATATTGTGAAATATTCACTATCTTCATATTTTACTGGGCAATTTATCCTACATGGAAATTTCAGTGTCCATTTAAGCGTACTGTACAAGGCCTAAAAATGAATACACTAAAGTTTTAACATGCCTTTCATAGACAGATGCAAAAAAACCCACCTATTTACAGTATTAAAAGGTTTACTGGTCTTGAAGGCTTAAAACAATGAAAAATTTCTATATGTTTGAAAGCAGTAAAATAAAATGACACTTGAAATCATTAAGGTTAAATGACACTGTTCACCCTTGCAAGAAATCTATGAAATCTTAATATACTAAATATATGATGCTTTAGCAAGGGCAGAATATATTGGATCTAAATGTAACTGGTTGTTTTTGCAATGACACTGATGCTAATGATAAACACAAAAAATCTAAATAAAATCATTAATGTCATCAAGTTGGTTACGTCATTTAAAAAATATTTACATGTTGTATATTAAAATAGCGGTATGCAAAATCTACTACTGGAGCATACAATTTGAGGTAAATGAAGACTATTTACTTTCTATCATCAATAAATTACTGTAATTCATATAGTTTCTGATGTACATCAGTAATGGCTGCACAAGATGTTGCATTAGGAATACATAAGTTAGCGCAAAAAATGGGAAATGAGTTCTACAGCATTTAAAAATCTAGATTTTATATTTACAACTAAAAAATTAGCACACTGACCCCAATTTGTTTCTTTTGATTCAAATATGTACTGCTTCAAGTACTTAGTATTTTTATTACCAATAACTGTATGGTTTCACTATTTTTTTTATCCAATTTATGCCTCATTATAGGGGCTTACTTAAAGGCCTAAAAATCAAGGAACACTTTGAAAAAGAACAAGTAAAATTAAAAACCAATTGTTCAAAAAACAATTGAAGGTCTTTCGACATCAATTTTCTAAATTATTGATAAGAATCTACTTCTGGTTTACTCAAAGTTACTATTGGCGTCCAATCATAGGTTTCTTCATACCGATTCAATAAATATATGGTTCTATATACTTTTGCCTGAAATACGGGAGATAATTGCCAACATCCGGTTAAAAAAATGTCACTTCCGGTCTCATATGACAGCTTTATTTACACCAATTCTAAAAATATATGGTTTATATAAACTTTTTCCTGTTAAAAAGGAGATAATATGCTAGTTCCGGTTTATAAAATGTCACTTCCGGTCACAAATGATAGGTTAATGTATGCCCATTCAAAACATATATGGTCTCTAGGTACTTTTCCATGAAATAAGTGCAAATATGACTACTTCCGGTTCACTCAACGTCACTTCTGGTTGACATTGTTCAAGGTCATATGTCACCAAACATTTTGCAAAAGATCTTATGGCTTTATCATGTACCAATTTGAAGTAATAATCAATTTACCCTACAATAAACATTTCAGGGGCAATAACTCCTATAAGATGTCATTGGATTGTTTCGGACCTAATGTATCATATATTCATCACAATAAAAGAAACATTTTGCACTAGTTTTTTCATATATATCTTCAAAAGTGTCAAGAGAAAATGCAAAAACAAGCAAATGTCAAAATTTAAGCGACATCTTGCGAAACAACTTTATACCGCAATAAAAGGGTTTGGCAAAAAGAAAAAAAAATAATAACAATAATCAGAACAAATACAATAGGTCTTTCAACAGAAAAGTGGAAAGACCTAAATATCTTTCTGTTCCAAAATTGTGTTATACTTTCTGAAAAGCATTGAAAAATTAAATTTGGGTTTTTACATAATAAAATTATGAATGGAAATGGGGAATGTGTCAAAGAGACAACAATCCTACCATAGAGCAGACAACAGCCGAAGGCCACCAATGGGTCTTCAATGCAGCGAGAAACTCCCGCACCCGGAGGCGTCCTTCAGCTGGCCCCTTCACAAATATGTATACTAGTTCAGTGATAATGGACGTCATACTAAACTCCAAATTATACACAAGAAACTAAAATTAAAAATGATACAAGACTAACAAAGGCCAGAGAGTTATATCAAACTGATATAACTTGAAAAGTAAATTATGAATTTATATTTTACTTTGCACATTTTGTTAGCACATATCAAAATTGACCTTGGATAAAAAGTTTATGGAAAAATCAACAAGATATCTTTTCTGTATCATATGCACTTAAATATGTTGATTTATCTTTTAAAGTCAAAGGCAGTTTACAATTCATCCAAGTAATTTCTTGCATATTGATTCTTCTGACTTCTATCAGAGTTTGTTTAAACAGTTCATGAAAAAAATGATCTGTTAACGCATCTTTTTAGAATTTAAGTTTCAGATAAGTTAATTTCAATCAAAAAGCATTTTGATTGCAACTAGTATTAATCAAATGTACCTAGTGGGTAGTAGTAATGCGTTTTTGTGCATTATATGTTTACTGACATTGTATAAAGAGTTTTTGTTTTTAAAGAATTTTCAATATGATTTTCTGCAAATGAATTCCAATCACCTGTTAGTAAATGCAGCATTCCTTTTGCTTTAGGCTTTTCAATATGATTTCTGTTATTTCAGGAAAAATTCCATCCACAAGGCAGCATGACTGATAACAAATATTGTTCCAATGTTTGCTACTTTGATTTTTACATCATATGTGATTGTGCTGTTCTTTAAAAATGAAAACTGCTGTGAAACAGATAATCTACATATCAGAATATCTTAAGCCCTCTAATTTAGATAATCTACATATCAGAATATCTTAAGCCCTCTAATTTAGATAATCTACATATCAGAATATCTTTAGCCCTCTAATTTAGATAATCTAAAATCAACTTAAAAACTTGATTATCTAATATTGTTAATATAGATTGGAAATCAATTGATTTTTGTGGATTTTGGGAGTAAAAAATAATTAGAATATAAATAGCTGCAAATGTATCAAACTTTGATACTTCTTACTCAATAAACCAATAAGATTTCAAAATCAGGAAAATTAATGGCTCTCAAGGGCTAAACATAGAAATAAAGTTTTTACAAAATAAACTTATATTGACCAATTTGCAATGATTTACTTACTTTTATTGATCTGACACAATGCTGGAAGTTTGGTATCACAATCTTTATCTCTCCAAAAATCTTCTCCAACAGCTATACAAGGCTTACTTGGCAAATAATCTGAATTCCAATTAGTGTAAATTACAGGCCAACCATTACTCCATTTATAAGTTATACCATCCTGTAAATGAATTGGAATTATAATTACATTTATTTCAAAAACAAAAATATAATGCACTGGAAGTCACATGAATTCACAAATTACTATCTTTTAAGTGTGGCAAAATTTGACGAAAGGACAGAAGTTAACCTATATTCCCGACCTCCTTTATGAACAAAGAAACTGTACATCCAGAAATGTTTTCAATGTTTTCATTCTTAGGAAAATTATGACAGGTAGGTTTTGCAGATGATAACACATTTATTTTAAATTTTGGAAGCATTTTTTGTAGGAACCATTTTCTTCAATTTCAAAATTTGCATTTTTATGCCCCACCTACGATAGTAGAAGGGGCATTATGTTTTCTGGTCAGTGCATCCGTTTGTTTGTCCGTTCATCTGTCCCTCCATCTGTCCCGCTTCATGTTAAAGTTTTTGGTCAAGGTAGTTTTTGATGAAGTTGAAATCCAATCAACTTGAAACTTAGTAAACATGTTCCCTATGATATGATCGTTATAATTTTAATGCCAAATTAGAGTTTTTACACCAATTTCACGGTCTACTGAACATAGAAAAAAAATAGTGCGAGTGGGGCATCTGTGTACTATGGACACATTCTAGTTGTCCATTGTTAAAAAATCATAATATTAAAAAGTATAACAAAAATACAAAACTCCCAAGGAATATTAAAATGGAAAGTCCCTTATCAAATAGCAAAATAAAAAGCTCAAACACATCAAACGAATGGAAAACAACTCTAATATTCCTGACTTGGAAGAGGCATTTCCTTATGTAGAAAATGGTGGATTAAACCAAGTTTTATAACTAGCTAACCCTCTCACTTGTATGACAGCTGCATAAAATTCCATTATATTGACAACAATGTGTGAGCAAAACAAACAGACATAATAGATAAAAATATAAAAGATTGTACACACCACAGTAAACAATGTGTTTTAATCTTAATCACTATAAAAACAAACAACTATGTCGACAAAGAAAAACAAAAACAAAATGCACACAAAAAACACTTTTAATGTGAAAGATTATCTAGAAACAATAAACACAAATGTTAGCCTCTCTAGAATTAAATTGCACTATTATTAAATTGAGAATAAAGCAATATTTATTCACTTTAATTCATAAATTACCTCAGAATTCATTTTGTTGAGGCCGATCCAAAATGGTAGTGATGACTTGTTATACGTGAGATAGCTAACAAAACTTTTCTCTGGAAGATTACGTATGGATGCTAAGCTACCTCCATCTTCTTGACATTTTGACAACGAAGTATTCCAATCATTAGTTGCTTCAAGTAATTTGTAACACATTTGATCATATTTGTCATATCCTAGTGGACAGTACTCAGATTCAGAAGTTTCTATAGGGAATAATGGATCTGCAATAGAAATTGATAGAGATTCATATTTTCAGAATTTCTTAGACAATGTGACATTTTTAGGGAGTCCTCATCCAAAACGACGACTGTATCACACCATGTTAAGGCTAAAAGTTTTCTCCAAAATTTTATTCTGCTTAGAATATTTTTGTCTAAAATTCTATTCAGTTTAGAATATTTAATCTAACATTCTCCTCTTAGATTAAATTCTCAAAATAAAAGTGTGTCCATAGTACACGGATGCCCCACTCACACTTTCATTTTCTATGATACTACCTTGACCAACAACTTTAACCTGAAGCGGGACAGACGGGCAAAGGGACGGACGGACGAACGGACGCACAGACCAGAAAACATAAAGCCCTTTCTACTATTGTAGGTGCGGCATACAAATCATTTAATTATTTTCAAAATTTTATTGAAAATATTCCTGAATGGCAAAGACAGTCAAACCCGAAATTGACTTAAGCATGTGTTTTTGAGTACTGTAAATTCAGAAATTATTGCAAGGTTTTTATTAATGTGAATAATGCGACTACTTTAGTATTGCAATATTTAGAACTTTCATTCTGATATCAAATATATATGTCCGTCTGTAGCTTTGTCTAAAATTGAATTGTTTATTCTTCAAAAATCGCAATAATAAATGCACGCAATAATTTCTGAATTTACAGTATTTTACAAAATATTAAACCTTTTAGGACAAAGAAAATTATTCAGAAACCAATACTTTTGTTGATCTGTTTCCCACGGGCATCATTCTGTATTTTATGATTAACTGTACACGGAGTAGGAAAATATATATCTAGATAATTACAATATTATATACTAGTCTTATTTCACTGGAAAGGGGGGGGGGGTTGTTTCTGAGTCGTCTAAGTAGTTCATCTATTGTATCACAAGCCTGTCAACAGTGATGTTGTGAGTTTGAACCCCGCACATAGCAGGTGCATTCCACTACAATCTGAATTGACTAGGAATGCAAATTGTCATGCTGATGGTCAGTGCTTCTCTCTAGAAACTCCTGCCTCCTTCACCAATAAAAACTGGCCACCACAATGCTCCCCATCTGCACATTTATGGAGAGAAAACATTTTTTATTTCAATGGTTAAATATACTAGTAAGTTTAGAGGAACAAATACAATTCATAGTGGGATACCTTCCAAAAACCAACTTGAAACTTAGTAAAAAAAATGTCTTTATCTAGTAGAAGTGACCTTGACCTTTGACCCATTGATCCCAAAATCAATGGGTTCGACCTCTCTCTATATCTTCCATTTATAAATGTTTAATTTAATCAAGCATGGGAAAATCAAGCCACAATATGGAAACCATGTGTCCATTTCATTTACTATTTTTAATTATAGTGACCTTGACCTTGGACTCAAAAATCAATAGGCTACTTCTCAGTTCCTATATCTTCCATTTGTACAAGTTTCAGTTCTAAACAAGCAAGATACTTGAGTTACCATGCATTCACAAACTGCTTGTTTCAGACACATGGGAGGATGGACAGACAAAGCCATAACTTTATGCTTTAGAACTATTTTGAAAGCATAATAAATACAGAGCATGTATATTCCCTGTTATATAAGTAATAAAAAAACAAAAGTCACATTAAAGAAGTAGTGGCAATACGGCCATTATTTGGTTGAAATATTAGTGCAAATTGCAAAGTAACCATACATATTCTTAATTTTCTAAAAGGTACAAGGTGTTCAGAAAATAAAAACAAATTTTACAATTTTCAAGAATATCATCATAGAAGTTATATTTTTTGTAAAATTTCTTGATTTTCCTTGTTTGACATCAACTTTTAAGTAAAAGTCAGATTGGAAAAGTATGTGCACACCCAAGAAGCAACTTTTAATTCAGTAACTTATGTCAATAGTTATAAAAGGGGGTAAAAGGGGGGGGGGGGGGTTATCTGCACTGAAGAACGCGTGCGTAATAAAATTGCCATTTCACGATGAAGGAACAATTAAAACTTTCTTGTACGTTGATCTTTTTACCGATTTCACGAAACACGGTGATTAACGAACCTTTTTCACGGCTGCACGTGATATAAAAATGGCAAAACACGTTGCACGAAAATTACCCTTTACCACCCTCTTATAACTAAGCTTCTCTAAAATTATTTTGTTGTTTCTAGGCTGCGCACGGTGTTTCCACACTGGAAACAATGATGGAAAACTGCATAATTCTAAAGTTGTCTTTGTTTTTTAATCAAAACAGTGCATATTATGGTGTAATTGTGACGTCATTACATCAAAAATCTTGTTTTATTCATTTACATTTCTTGTTTTTATGCATTTCCAAACATTATGTGCAAATTGAGAATAGCTTTCAAAAACTATCTTTTTCGGCAACTCCTGTCTATAATAACATCACTATAAATACTTGGAACTAAGTAAAAAACTTACTTTGTAACCCCTGACAGATGAAATACAAAGATGAACTGCATCTTTCATCATTCCATTCTCCAAACTTCTCCTTTATCACAAAGAGATCAACACAATGTTCCTATACAAAAGTAAACAAACATATCAACACAAATTTATATAAAAGTAAACAAATATATCAACACAAATCTATACAAAAGTAAACAAATATATCAACACAATTCTATACAAAAGTAAACAAATATATCAACACAATGCTCCTATACAAAAGTAAACAAATATATCAACACAATGCTCCTATACAAAAGTCAACAAATATATCAACACAACGCTTCTTTACAAAGGTCAAATGATAGTCGAAATAAAACACACCATGCTCCTTTACAATAGACAAACAAATATATCACCACAAGGCTTCATACAAAAGTCAGCAATTATATCAAATAGATTCTTTAAAAAAAAGACAACAAATATATCGACACACTGTTCCTACAGTAAAACAAACAACAAATATATCAGCACAATTCTCCTACACAGAAGTCAACAATTAAACCAACACAGCGCTTCGATACAGAAGTCAACAATTAAACCAACACAGTGCTCCAATACAAAAGTCAATAAATGTATCAACACAATGCTCAATTACAGAAGTCAACAAATATATCGCCAAATTGTTCAGATATAAAAGTAAATAAATATATCGTCAAAATGTTCAACAAGTGTATCTTCACAATGTTCAAATACACAAGTCAACAAATATATTACCAAGATGTTCTAATATACAAGTCAACAAATATCTGTTCTTTTACTAAAGTATCTTATATATTGTCAATAAATGTATCAACACAATGCTCTATTACAGACGAAACAAATATATTAACACAATGCTCTTATACAGAAGTCAACAAATATATCACCAAACTGTTCTTATACGAAAGTCATCAATTGTATCTTCACAATGTTCCAATACATAAGTCAACAAATATATTACCAAGATGTTCTGATATAAAAGACAACAAAGGTATGTTCCTTTACTAATGTATTTTATATATAATCAACAAGTCAACAAATATATCACCAAGATATTCTGATGTAAAAGTCAACAAAGGTATGTTCCTTTACTAATGTATTTTATATATAATCAACAAGTCAACAACTATATCACCAAGATGTTCTGATATAAAAGTCAACAAAGGTATGTTCCTTTACTAATGTATTTTATATATAATCAACAAGTCAACAAATATATCACCAAGATGTTCTGATATAAAAGTCAACAAAGGCATGTTCCTTTACTAATGTATTTTATATATAATCAACAAGTCAACAAATATATCATCAAGATGTTCTGATATAAAAGTCAACAAAGGTATGTTCCTTTACTTATGTATTTTATATATAATCAACAAGTCAACAAATATATCACCAAGATATTCTGATGTAAAAGTCAACAAAGGTATGTTCCTTTACTAACTAAATGTATTTTATATATAATCAAAATGTTCCAATACAAAAGTCAATAAATATATGTCTTTACGACATTTATGAACTAATATGTCAACATATATATTTAACACTCAAAAACATGTCCAGTCCCCCAAAAATGTCCTTTTTATGATCGCCCAATCGTATCTATTCTGAAAACACCCAATCATGTCCACTGAATAGTTGCTAAAGGGTGCCAAAGCGTGTCCTTTTTATGATCGCCCAATCGTATCTATTCTAAAAACACCCAATCATGTCCACTGTTATTAAATAGTGATTCATAATCACACATGTTGTCTAAATACAAATACAATCGATATCATTACAGCAGTCTTCGTACTCCACCACAGGTACCTGCCCAGTCTTGTAAAAATGATGTCGGGCCTGTAAAATATTCTGTACAGGCCAATAGAATCTAACTAACATTTTCATAAAAATCAGTTTTGGCCTACAGATTCAAAAGTATATCGTGAAGACTGTTACAGGAACCTTAGTTTTGTTTTGTTGTTGTAAAAATGGGACAGTAACTTTTTAAAAGCCCAGACACCACTTCTAGGCCATGCAATACCCTCTTATATTATTAAGATAGTTGGCCATCATCGTTGGCCATCATCGCAGTATATGGGTACAAAAGAGTTCACTTAGTAAACGATGAATATAACTGTACAAAACTAATTAGTTACAGTTCGTATGATCGCTATAAATATGCATGATATATTTGCCACTGGACATTATGCAAGCAACAGTCAAGAGTTAATCTATGTGTTGCAAATTAACTTGCAATCATGCTAAATATTAACAACTGGCATTGAACAATGATTACAAGTTGCTAAATATTAACAACTGGCATTGAACAAACTAATGCTAATAAATGACCACTCAATCAATAGTTGAAGCACTGGGAAAACGTTCTTTGATTTCTTAAGTTTGAAGTGTTTCTATTTTTAATTTAAAACAGTAATAATCATACTAAAAACAAAATAATAATAAAACCACTGTAAGTAAAAATAAATTCTTCTTGTGCCATTCTTTTTCTTATCAGTTTTTTTTCAAAGCAGAAGTTAATGATTTCATCTTTCTCTGTGGATAGTGTACATTTGCCGATACGCATCACTACACCTTTCCTCTAGATGTCCTTGGAAAGCAACTTTTGGTCTTTTTTCAGAATCTGCAATCAAAACACGACATCTTTACTCGTGTCCATCATCATTGAATTGCTGTAAACGTGATTGACGTCACTTAGGACATATTATAGCTAAAAGTTTGGACAAGTTATGGCGAACAACAATTATCGGACACATTTGTGTGATTTGGGACTTAAACGACACTTTTGGGCGAAATGGACACATATTGGGATATTGGACACGTTTGGAAGTGTTACATATATATCATCCTATACAAAGGCAGCACAAAATTCAGCCCACACAACAAATATATCAGAATGATACTCTTATATAAAAGTCAATATCAAATATTATATACACAAACGTCAACAAGATTATATATCGGCTACTTAAAGCGTTGCAGCAGATCATGACCCCCTGCACTGGTCATAACATTGCTTCGTGACTTCTACATGAGCAGATTAAATACTTTCAGCATGCTTACTGCAACAGAACTACTTCAAGATGGAAAGTGTTTCTAGTTGATATATAAGCATGCATACCTGCCAACCTTCACGATTTATTGGGGATTTCCCCACTGATAGGTGTTGACCTGAATTTTGAAATTCTTTATTTTATAATCTGAACACCTCAAAACAGGTATTCAAGGGAATTTAAGCACAAACCTACTCATTCAAACAATACAGTAGTAGATTGAAAACACTTGTAACCATATAAGAGGAGTATTAGTTCATATTTCACTTGAAATTCCCCATGGAGATTTTGAAAAGTTGGCAGGTATGAGCATGTGAGAAATTGTCAAAATACTAACGTTTACACCAAAGAGGGCAAAAACAGAGGATTTGGAGAATTTTGACCAAATCTTCTGGATTTCAACCATGTTTTCATTGAATTTGAAAGAAAATTTAAATAATTAAAACTGAGACATCATTAAAACAACCCTGATACGTAAAGTTTCAAAATTATAGATATATATTCTATCTTGACATTGTTTTAACTATAATTCAATGTGATAACAGCTTTCTCTGTGTTTGTAAGTTGGTACTTCATTGATTCCTTCACTACATATCCTCTTATTCATATGAATTTAGGGAACTGAGTTTTTTCTCTCAGATTTTAAATTGTTCAATTTATGACTCAAGTTTAAGCATAGATAACTATGTTGCTTTTATGTGTCCTACTTGGTTAAGAAAAAGTTAGCTCTTTAAGGAGACAGAATCTCATTTCTAACCAGAAGTGTACCATTTAACCAATAAATTCCCATTTGACACTAGAACATTTCATTCCATACCAATAGATAACTATATCACACTACCAGATTCTAGTTTTACATTAGAAGTTCTCATTCCATACCAACAGATTCTTATTTCACACAAGAAGTTGCCATTCCATATCAAGATTCTTATTTTACATCAGAATTTTTTTCATTTCATACCAACATATTTTCATTTCACACTAGAATTTATTCATTTCATACCAACAGATTCTCATTCTGAACTACAATTTTTATTATTTTATAACAAAAGATTCTCATTCCACACTAGAAGTTTCTCATTTCATATCAATAAATTATTATTTCACTCCAACAAATTCTCATTCCACACGAGAAGTTTATAATTGCATACCAATAAATTCTCATTCCACACTGGAAGTTTATAATTTCATATCAATAGATTCTCATTCGCCACTATAAGTTTTTCATTTCATATCAATAGATTATCATTTCATACTAACATTTTCTCATTCAATATAAGGAGTTTTTCATTCCATATCAGTAGATTACTATTTCTCACTAACAGATTCTCATTCCACACTAGCAGTTTTTTCATTCAATATCAATAGCTTACTATACCACACCAACAGATTCCAATTCAACACTTAAAGATTTTCATTTCAAATCAAAATATTCCCATTCCAAACTAACAGTTGTTTTCGTTCATTATTAATAGATTACTTTTTCAAACTAACAGATACCCATCAGCACTAGAACTTTGTCATTTTATACCAATAGATACTGATACCATACTAGAAATTTAAATCACATATCAATTGATAACTATTTCACATTAACATATTCTCATTCCACACTAGAAGTTTTTCCTTTCATATCAATAGATAAAATGCTTCGCTGAGCGCAGCCTGATACGACCGAAGTGGTCGAACCCTGAATAGTTGGGGCAAATTTGGACACAATATTCAAGCTTGATTCTATCTTAATTTTTGACATAATGTAGGTTTCTGACACAAAATAAATTTGGTCAAAGATCTTACAAATCTAATGCGCAATACTGTGCATTGAAAATTTCTTCTTGAAACTTAAAAAAATTTGAAATTTTGAAAATTTTGAAAAAAAATATAAACCCTTTTAAAAAATAATTGGTAACCCCTCTTCCCCCCAAACTTTTTGAATCCCCCTTTTAGCATTAACCATCAAACTCAATTGCAGTCTTTCTTGGAAGTATAGTACAATTTTAGAGAGATCCATACACTTAATCACAAGCTACTAGGAAAATGTTTTTTTAACTATAAAAACCCATTTAAATACATCATAAAAGTCTTAAAATAGAAAATGACATCATAGTCATGGCTAAAATAAAAAAAACCTTCATCAGCAACTTTTAATAGTAATATCTAAAAAAAATTCCTTCAGCAGCATTTAAAAGTAACTTCTAAAAATAAATTGACAGCTAGGACTTTGCAACCATAAAAACCCATTTAAATACATCATAAAAGTATTAAAATAGAAAATGACATCATAATCATGCCTAAAATTAAAACACTTTCATCAGCAACATTAAATAGTAATATCTTAAAATAAAATTCATTCACATACATAATCTTGGCTAAAATTAAATAATTTTTAAAATAGAAAATGACATCATAATCATGCCTAAAATTAAAAAGCCTCCACGGCTAAAAATAAACAAAAACCTTCATCAGCAACATTTTATATTGGCAAATTTCCAATGGAATTTATTAATACTAAAGTTTTGGTAAATTTCCAATTTACATAATTTAAAACCAGTGTAGCTGAGATATTCAAATGAGTTTCAATGATAACCCCAATTAATTTGCAACCATAAACATGATAAAAGCCAATTTCAATACATCCTAAAAGTATTAAAAAAATTTAAATACATCATGAGGCTATTAAAATAGAAAATGACATTACAGTCATGGCTAAAAATAAACAAAAACCTTCATCAGCAACATTTTATATTGGCAAAATTTCCAATGAAGTTTACTATTCTAAAGTTATTGGCAAATTTCCAATGGAATTTATTAACAATAAAGTTATTGGCAAATTTCCAATATACATAATTTAAAAGAAGTGAAGATGAGATATTCAAATGAGTTTGAATAACGAACCTTATACTGCTTTTAAATTATGTTTTGTACTTAAATAATTGTCTTTAACATGGAAACCCTTGTTTTCCCCCATTTTTGCCCCTTATTCCTGAACGGTTTGAGCCATAACCCCCAAAAGCCAATTCTTACTTTCCAATGGAGTTTATTATACTAAAATTATTGGCAAATTTCAAATGGAATTTATGAACAATAAAGTTTGCAAATTTCCAATATACATAATTTAAAAGTTGTGTAGGTGAGATATTGAAATGAGTTTGAATTACCAACCTTACACTGCTTTTAAATTATGTTTTGTACTTAAGTAATTGTCCATTAACCTGGAAACCCTTGTTTTTCCCCCTTTTTTTGTCTCTTATTCCTTAACGGTTTGAGCCATAACCCCAAAAAAGCCAATTCTTACCATCCCTTTGTGGTATGGAAAATTGTGGTATAGTTTCAGAGAGATCCATACACTTGAACACAATTTATTGTCTGGAAACTAGAAAAATGTTTGTTTTTTGGTCCCTTTTTGGCCCCAAATTCCTCAACGTTTAAGACAATTACCCCCAACTCAAATCCAGCTTTCCCTTTGTGATATAGAACTTTGTAGTACAATTTTATAAAGATCCATACACTTACACACAAGTTATGGTCCTGAAACTAGAAAAATGCTTGTTTCTTGCCCCTTTTTGGCCTCTAATTCCTAAAAATTTGAGGCAATTACCCCAAAAATCAATCCCAGCCTTCCCTTTGTAGTATGGTACCTTGCAGTACAATTTCAGAGTGATCCTTACACTTGAACACAAGTTATTGTCTGGAAACTAGAAAAATGCTTATTTTTGGCCCCTTTTTGGCCCCTTATTCCTAAACGTTTTAGGCAATGACCCCCAAACACAATTCCAGCTTTTCCTTTGTGATATGGAACATTGTAGTACAATTTCAAAAAGATCCATACACTTACACACAAGTTATTGTCACGAAACTAGAAAAATGCTTGTTTTTTGCACCTTTTTTGGCCCCTAATTCCTAAAATTTTCAGGCAATTATCCCAATAATCAATCCCAGCATGCCCTATATGGAACTTTGTGGTAAATTGTCAGAGAGATCCATACACTTACACACAAGTAATGGTCTGGAAGTTACAAAAATGCTTATTTTTTGCCCCTTTTTGGCCCCTAATTCCTTAACTGTTGGTACCATAACCCCCTAAATCAATCCCAACCTTTATTTTGTGGTATTGAACCTTATGGTAAAATTTCATAGAGATCCATTCACTTAAACTAAAGTTATTGTGCGAACACCAATGTGTCTTCGGACGACGACGACGACGATGACAACGTCGCCGACGACGACGACGACGCCAACGTCGTACCAATATACGACCGCAAACATTTTTTGCGGTCGTATAATTACTTAATCATTCTTACAGATTTCTATTCCACACAAGAAGTTTCTCATTTCATACAAATAAATTCTTAATCCACACTAGAAAATTTTCATTCCATACAAATTCTATTTATTCCAAACTAGAAGTTTTTCTTTCAATAACAACAGATTCTCATTCCACACTAGAAGGTTTTTCATTTTATACAAAAAGATTCCCATTCCACACTAGAAGTTTTTCTTTCCATACAGATAATTCTAATTCTTCACTGAAATTGTTTCTTTCCATACTGATAATTCTCATTCCCATTCCACACTAGAAGTTTTTCGTTTCATATCAATAGACTCTCATTCCACACTAAAAGTTTTCAAAACAACAGATTCCCATTCCACACTAGAAGTTTTTCATTTTATACAAAAAAAATACCCATTCCACACTAGAAGTTTTTCTTTCCATACAGATCAATTTTAATTCCCCGCTGAAATTTTTTCTTTCCATACTTATAAATTCTCAATCCACTCTAGAAGTTTTTCATTCCATATCAATAGATTACTATTTCACACTAACAGATTTCCATTCCACACTGGAAATTTTTCGTTTCATACCAATATATTCCGCTACCATACTAGATGTTTTTCATTCCATATCAATTGATCACTATTTCCCACCAACAAATTCCCATTCCACTACAGAGGTAAATCATTTCATACCAATAGATTTCCATTCCACACATAAAGTTTTTCATTCCATACAGACAAATTCTAATTCTACACTAGAATTGTTTCTTTCCATACTGACAGATTCCCATTTTCAGAATAAGAAGCTTTTCTTTCCATTCCAACAAATTATAATTCCAAACTAGAAGATTTTCTTTCCATGACAACAACTTCTCATTCCACGCAAGAAGTTTTTCATTTCATACCAACAAATTTTCATTCCTCACTAGCTGTTTTCACTCCATACCAATAGATTCTCATTCCTCAGTAGAATTTTTTCAATTCATATCAATAGATACTCACTTCGTACTAACATATTCTTCTTTCACACTTACATTCCCAATGTCATGCAAGTATTTTCACATCTTACGTACATTATACCCATTAGGCTCCTTAGAGTTCCAGTTAGTGTATGAAACTTGTGAACTATCATCCCAATAATACTTCCTGAAAGTATGTTCATCTGTCATTCCTATCCAAACCATCTCTAGGCTGTTAATCAGCATAGTGGTTATAAACACTACAAATAAGTTGGTATGAAAACTAAAAAAAACATGTAAATAATTACAGAGGCACCATGCATAGATTTACCTTGCAGCACAGAAAAAAATAATTCCAAAAATAAACAAGAGGCTCTCAAGAGCCTGAATCGCTCAACTGTAATTTTATGCTTAAATCTTTCATCAATGATTATTTTTGCTTTTCAATATATATTATAGAGTGGCTTAAAAATGCCATTTAAATGTTCTTTGTAACTGTCATATTTTCTTCAAAAGCCAAAAAAATGCATTTTACCCCTATTTTTCCTTTTAGCCATAGTGGCTATGTTTTTTGACGTACAAGGAAATAAAATACTAAATTTATACTAGATACTCTGAAACTTATTCAGCCCAAGTTTGGGTGAAATTACTTCAGCAGTTTCAAAGGAGAAGATTTTTAAAGTATGCAAACTAGATGAACAATTGCGGAAAATTGTCTTTAAAGGGCAATAACTCCTTAAGGGGTCAACTGAAATTTTGGTCATATAAAAACTTATTTGTAGACCTTACTTTGCTGAACTTTTTTACTGTTTACAGTTTATCTTTATCTATAATAACATTCAAGAAAATAATCGAAAACTGCAAAATTTCCTTAAAATCATCAATTCAGAGGCAATAACCTAAAAATCAGATACCCGATTTGGCTGATAATCTCAGGGCAGATAGAGATTGACCTAATGAAAATTTTAGCTTCTCTCCGATTTACTCTAAATGCTTTAGTTTTTGAGATACAAGTCAAAAACTGCATTTTACCCTATGTTCTATTTTTAGACATGGCGGCCATGTTTTCTGAGGAAACAGAAAATTAGACATAAACTTTATTCTAGATAACCTAAGAATCATTCAGCTTAAGTTTTGATTAATTTGGTTCGTAGAAGATTTTATAAAGTTAGAAAATATGATAAACAAATTGTGTAAAATTGTCCTCAAAGGGCAATAACTCCTTAAGGAGTCAATTGACAATTTTGGTCATATAAAACTTATTTGTAGATCTTGCTGAACATTTTGGCGGTTTACAGTTTATCTTTATCTATAATTATATTCAAGATAATAACAAAAAACTGCAAAATTTCCTTAAAATAACAAATTTAGTGGCAGCAACCCAACAATGAGTTGTTAGATTCATCTGAAAATTTCAGAGCTGATAGACCTTGACCTATTGAACATTTTTACCCCAATCAGATTTGCTCTAAATGCTTTAGTTTTTGAGATATAAGTCAAAAACTGCATTTTACCCCTATGTTCTATATTTAGACATGGTGGCCGTGTTGTTTGACGAAACAGAAAATAAAACACAAAGTTTATTCTATATACCCTTAGAATCATTCAGCGAACGTTTAGTTGGAATTGGCTCAGTAGTTTTTAGAGGAGGAGATTTTTTAAAGTTAGAAAACATGATAAACAGATTGTGTAAAATTGTCCATTTAGGGACAATAACTCCTTAAGGCGTCAATTGAAAATTTTGGTCATATAAACTTATTTTTAGATCTTACTTTGCTGAACATTTTTGCTGTTTACACGTTATCTTTATCTATAATAATATTCAAGACAACCAAAAACTGCAAAATTTCCTTAGAATTACCAAATTAGGGGCAGCAACCCAAAAATAGGTTGTTAAATTCATCTGAAAATTTCAGGGCTGATAGACCTTGACCTAATGAACATTTTATCCCAGTCAGATTTGCTTTAAATGCTTTAGTTTTTGAGATATAAGCCAAAAACAGCATTTTACCCCCAAGTTCTATTTTTAGCCATGGCAGCAATGTTTTTAGACGAAACAAAAATAAAACACAAACTTTATTCTAGATACCCTAAGGATCATTCAGCTCGTTTGGTTGGAATTGGTTCAGAAGTTTCAGAGAAGAAGATGTTTGAAATAGTTTACACCAGATGGAAGACGACAGATGACTAGGACGGACGCCAAGTGATGGCAAAAGCTCCCATTTCCTTTGGAAAGGTGAGATAAAAATATCATTATCAAACTAACATTAATTTTGATTTCAACAAATTTTTGTCTATTAATTGTTGCTGTAACCTAGAACATTGATCCAGTTACCTTAATATCAATAGCTCTCCAAATATCAGTCCAACTCCATCTATAACCTTGATCTACTCCTCTGTGATCTCAAAATGAGAAGAGGTCTTTATAATCCAATGGGGAATTACCAAGGAAAGTTTAGCTAATATCTTTTCGTGGCGCAAGAGGTTTTGTCGGGAAACACAACTTTCCCAAAATTTCAGTCCATCTATATCCACTATGACCTTGACCTTTGACCTCATATGTTGACCACATACATCATATCAAAACCGAAATAAACTTTGCTCAAACTCCGCTAAAAATAAAGCATGAAAATGATGTAGATAACATTAGACTTACTCTGTTCTAATTCACTCTGTATAGTGACCAAACCATAAGTCCTTCCATAAGTTTCACAAGTTGCCTTTGCTTGGCTCCAAGTTTTCTTTGTTTTAAAAAATCTATAACATTTACTATCTGAAAGATATATACAAAATGACAAAGGAAAAAACTGTTAAGCAATTCAATTAAAAATTGCATAATTGGGCTTTTAAATTTCAACAGGTATAGAGAACTAAGAAAAACATTATCCATATAACTTATAAGTTTCACAACTCAGTAAAACATTCGTCTGACAAAATACAAGAATGTTCCACGAAAGAGTTACTAAACAAAATTCTAGACTATTACATCATTATTTCAACAAATTGACAAGACCACTACAAATCTCCAGAACTCTGGCCTACAGGCTAAACTAAATTTGTAATACTGATCAAACAAGTAGTTGCACATGCTTATCTTGCTAAACCTTCAGACACACTTAATTCAAAGTATCATACAACAGAAAGTATACATATGACAGATCTGAAAGTATACATATGACAGATCTTCAGTTCGTTAATGTTGCATGGTTCGAAATTTACTTTTTAACAACTTGACCTTCTTACAAGTGACCATTGTATAATACTTGTCGGTAAGATAAAAACACTTGTCCAAATTTTGTACTTGCTTAAGAAATTTTAAGCTGCCAATTATGGACAATAAATGGTAAATGCATTTCAAAAAGGAATGAAATGTAGTGGATTGCTTAAAGTGTTGTACCAAGTCACTTGAACCCCATCTGCTCATCAGAGAAGAATATATGGTTCAAAAATCATAACAAAATATTTTTGTAGTTTTCTGTGTTTATTGTTTGTTGAATTTGCGATGACTTATATGTCGGTATTTTACAGTATTTTTAAATATTCCATTCCACACTATATTAGATTATATAATTTATAATCTGATTACTGTAATTTCAGAAATTATTGCGAGCTTTTTATTTATGCAAATATTGCGACTGGGTAAGTATCCCAATTATTAGAACTCGCATTCTGATATCGGATATATGTATCTGTATGCAGATATTCATTAAATCGCAATATAATAAATCTCGCATTATTGTCCATTCTTCATAAATCGCAATAATAAATGCACGCAATAATTTTTGAATTTACAGTAGCTAATCAAAGAATGTGCCAATATTTTCAAAATAACAAGTTAGAAAATCAAAATCCTAAATATACGTATATTTGTCGACATGCCTTGCCAATTGGTTGCATTGGTTGTTATGATGATTTATTTATATGAATAAACAGCTGCACCATAAGCGCATGATACGCCCGTCGTCTTGTGTGTGAATTTTTAAGCAATAATCATAAATAGTTTTTGACATACGGGGCGACATGCGAAAACCCCCCCTTTTTTTTACAAAAAACTCAATATCTCTAAAAAAAAAAAATTTGAATCAAAACCAAAAAGTAAACAGATCTTAAGATTAATATAACTAAGAAGTGTGTATAATTTTAAGCAATAATCATAAATCGTTTTTGACATACGGGGCGACATGCGAAAACCCCCCTTTTTTTACAAAAAACTCAATATCTCTAAAAAAAAAAATTGAATCAAAACCAAAAAGTAAACAGATCTTAAAATTAATATAACTAAGAAGTGTGTAAAATTTTAAGCAATAATCATAAATCGTTTTTGAGATACGGCGCGACATGTGAAACCCCCCCCCCTTTTTTTTTTGAAAAAATCAATATCTCTAAAATAAAATTTTGAATCAAAACCAAAAAGTATACAGATCTTTAGATTAATATAACTAAGAAGTGTGTAAAATTTTAAGCAATAATCATAAGTTGTTTTTGAGATACGGCGCGACATGTGAAAAAAAAACACACACTTGTTTTAGTCACTTAGTCCCGTAACTCAAAAAGTTAAAATTTTATTTTTACCAAAACGTATACAGATCGTTTGACCATCATAAGAAACAACATATTAAGTTTCATGAAATTTGGATAAGTCGTTCTCAAGTTACGGTGCGACATGTTCACGCCGGACAGACAGATGGACAGACGGACAGACGGACAGACGACATTTGTATACCATAATACGTTCCGTAAAATTTTGACGGGCGAATAAAAAGAGAATTAATACGTATATTCAGTATTTTCACCACCTATAACTTTTGATGTTTACTTGCCCATTGGACAAGTACATATCAGTTTCAATTTGCCCGATGATGACTTTCACTTGTCCCGGCAATTGGACAGCCTATAATTTTGAACCCTACATCATACCTGTCAACCTCTGAAACTGAAAATGCAGGTCATGACCTGCATTGAAGAAGAAAATGTCAGGTAATAACGCGTACGAACTTTTTCGGTCCAATTTTAATATTGAGTTTTTTTTTTTATATACAATAACATATACATGTACTACTGAGTTTCTTAAAAATAATCACTTTTGTTTTTGTTAAGTATATAAATAGTTATCATTAATTAAATTTCTTTCTAAAGCAATGCCCTTTAATTGTTTTTATTCACAATAGTTTACCCCTTCTTATTAAGGAATGTCATAAACCCAATTATACATTGTATATGTAATTAGAAATCAATATCATAGTTAATGTGCTCCTATACACAGGAGGAAGATAGATAGAAAGAAGTTAGTGTGTTTCCTTTCAGTGTAATATCTAGAGCATATGGATTTGATTTAAAGCTTTTACATTTAATGATGTATTCTTCTGACGTTTCAGTCTCGTTGAAATCTCGTTCTGAAATCATTTCCAAGACATGTAATGCAAGTGGAAAATATCAATGGATTTAAAAAATATTATAATCAAACTTAACTCTGTGAAAACATTTTGTGTATTTACATTAAGTAGTTTTTGAGTAATAAAATTTTCAAATTTTATAACCAGTCAAGTCAGTCTCATTAGCCAAATTTTGAGAAAAAATGGGTGAGGGGTATAAGAAATGATTTTACCAGATACATGTACATCATATATCAAGTTTTTTTATTTTCAAATTTCTTAGATATGTATTTTTCAAGTCATTTTAACAAAGAAGTTGAAATAATACGCTTTTTGTTCTAAAAAAAAGAGAGAAAAATCCCAAATTTACAAAATTGACAACATGGTAAATTGACACGAAAAAGCAACAAAATTTTATAAAATTTTCTTATATTAACACCTACCCGTAGTTGTTTAAGTTAAATTTTTTCAGATTAGTCCACTTCATCTTTAGTGAAGGTATGAAAAAAAGTTTAATTGCGAAACTGATTTTTTTCATGATAATAGCCCAAAAATGGGTAAAAATTGATGAAAAATGGGAAAATTATCAAAATTGGGTACTTTCAAATGGCTGTAGCAAAAAAAGAAGTGCACCACCATATGATTTTTTCTTCACCAATCATTTTTTTAAAGTCATATAAACCCAAAAATCAGGTTTATTCTAGAAGTGTTTGGCTCCTCAGAGGTGTACATCCTTAAGTGATAACAAAATTATTCTCTCCACCAGAAAAGTATTAAAAGGATCAAATTGTTTTGCAATGATTTCTACAGGATGTTTGATATTTGCAAACGACAAATCTTGCAAGCTTGATTGGCTTCAACTTTCTGTGGTACAATTAACAAACAATCCTTGAATTGTTATTTTTCAATCAAATGTAATGTTTTCATAGCTGCCATTGGCACGGTAAATAAGCAAATTCTAATTTCAATTGTTTATTTATTCAAAGGAAAAACGCTGAGAAAATCGAAAGTATATTTGACTTCTAAATACCGGAAACAATACCAGTCAGAAATACAGGTGAAAACGGGTCATTTTTGAAATCCCATGGTTGTTGTAGCCACCTGGCGGGTATTTAAAAAAAAACGGGTAAGGGGTGAATTCTCGGATGTGACCCGGAGGATACGTGTTCAGTTGACAGGTATGCTGCATTGTTTTAATAACATGATAGGACACTTGCAAGACAAAAAAGATTAGTAATCTGAAGACCTCAAAACAGGCATTTAAATGAATTAAAAGGGTATACAAGCACATACATACTCGTTCAAACAATATAGTAGTAGATTAAGAACACTTAAGACATTATAAGAGAAGCATTAGGTCTCCCAAGTTAAAACCTCCCATGGAGATTTTGAAAAGTTGGCAGGTACAGATTACTGGATTTTACTTTAAAGTGAAATCAAAGAGTTTGAAAGCTATTGTACTTTCCATCAATAATTGAACTGAACAATATATATTATAGAAAATTAAGATATTCACTATATCTTTTATGACTCAATCTAAATATGATTCTATTTTTTTAACTATCAATTTCAAACTAAAACAACAAAAACATTAAAGGACAAACAAAATTTGCTAAGTTTGATAGCATCATTGGAAAAACAAAGAACACTAAGATAAAAGGGTCTGGAGAGAACTGGAAGGTTATTTTAGAAGTGTGTAACATATTTACCTCCAGAATCACCGACGAGACATTAATTGTCAATACGCTTCTGGTGCAGTAAAATTAGCAACGTTAATGTTATAATAATGTTTGGGTTAAAGTAATAAGGATACAAGTAGGTACAAGTTTGAGTTGACACAGATCCAATATAGCTTTCTGTGCCAAAGCTATTTTGCTAAACACACAAAGGACAGACAAACCATTCTTAGTTATTTCGATGAATTGTATGAAGTTAACTTTGGAACGTATATATTTTGAAGCTATAGTTTTCTCGACACCAAGCTTGTCATTCTATGTCCTTTTCCAAACTGGGAAACACGAACATTTTATTTCATTGAATCTGTGAAAGGAATATAAAGACCTGAGCCAGACTAATCATAAAAGTTTCAAATTCAACAGATCGTTACTGAGGAGGGAGGACCAACTAATCTCCACTGTAATGAGATGTACAAATGCTTTGTATACACCTGCATACCAAATATCATTGATTTATCATACATTGTTCCCTTAAACTTACCTAATCACAAATTTTAGGGAGAGGGGTTGAATAATCTCCATGGAAATAAGATATGCCAACACTATTACAATGGCTTAACACACATCATTTACCATGAGCAGTTCCCCTTCCCCTGATCAAATCATTAACTTTAACAAATTGTTGCTGCTCCCACTGTCGATAACAGCATGTCCCAAGTCTCGCTTTTTGACTCCGTCAGGGCAAGATAAAAATTGAACTGTCTAATGTGGACAAATCTCATTAGACTCGACATTGAAAACCATAAATATCTTACTGAATGTAGATCTGACGAATCCTCCTAAACATCCACCTCTCACTGTAGGTATAGAAGAGGCTGGGGTTGTTGTAAAACTATCTGTGTCATTCTTTCTCTTGCAAATATAACCATTTACGCCTCTATTACAGTTGAAGTCAGTCCAACGACCTGAAGTACAATATACGGCTATATTTTAATTAAGATGTTGAATATTATATTTTTCTGCTATACACTTTGACCTACCAGGAAGGCAATTTAGTCAGACCTTCATTTTGTTAATCAAATTTAGATGAATTTCCAAGCAAAATTTAGTACAACTAGAACTGTAAGTGAACTCAAAAAGAATACCCCTGCCCCACAAAAAATGATTACCTCCCCTATAATATGCTGGACAGGTATTTCATTGCTGCATAAACATCCCCACCTAGTGTTCTACAACTGTGAAAAGCTTCATTAATATCCATCCAGCCAGATAGGATTTGCACTTAAAATGCAAATGGACAGTCAGACAGACTGGGTGTTTCCTATATACCCCTTTGTTGTAAGGGGGAACGTTTATAACAATAAGGTAAAAGATCAACTACAAACACTCCTTACATGCTATTGATATAATTTAAGACATGGAATATATATATATATATATATATATATATATATATATATTTGTCACTTCAATATGGCAGAATATGTTGTCTAGCATTAGCATCAGTTTTTCTCTTATACAAGTCTTAAGTGTATCTGATATAATGTTCTATGGTTTAAATAAGTTAATGAGTTCTTTAATTCCATTTTAACTGCTTTGAATGCATTGATTTTGAGGAATTCAAGTTTCACTATGGAGGATTTAATTAATCAGGCCAACCCCTCTTTTTTGTAGAAAATCCCCCATTAATGAGGAAAGTTGAAAGGTTTGCGCATGTCTTGTGTTATTTTTTATTGGATTGCACAATAAGATAACCTGGCTTACATGAGAATGTGTACAAATCCATAGATACATATCACATTGTTTATATGTTACTTGGTTTAAATATATATACATGTTTTTTTTTAAATGTTCTTTCTGACATCGGACTCGGACTTCTTTTAAACTGAGTTTTTCTGTGCGTATTGCTATGTGTTTCTTTATTCTACATTTGCTAGAGGTATAGGGGAGGGTTGAGATCTCACATAACATGTTTAACCCCGCCGCATTTTTGCACCTGTCCCAAGTCAGGAGCCTCTGGCCTTTGTTAGTCTAGTACGTTTTTTTAGTTTTAGTTCATTTATATGTTTTGGAGTTTGTCTGACGTCCATTTTCACTGAACTAGCACACAATTTTATTTAGGGGCCAGCTGAGGACCACCTGCGGGTGCGGGATTTTCTCGCTGCATTGAAGACCCATTGGTGGCCTTCGGCTGTTGTCTGTTGTTTGGTCGGGTTGTTGTCTCTTTGACATACTAGTATTCACCATTTCCATTCTCAATTTTATTTAATCACTCAAATCATTAACTGTGCTTTATTTTGTAATTCATTTGATTGTAAAGTTCAAATTTGGTGCACAATGATTAGTTAGTAAATATCTTCTTTTCAAATATCTTCGCTATCACAGTAATGTTCTTCATACATCATTTAAAAAAAAGGCTGCTTAAAGTATGAATGATGTTTAAAAATGCTATAATCAAAAAGACACTGCTATCATGTTTTTAATATTCTTTTAATTGTACTATTTAATCATTTAAAAATATCAAACAAGTCATACATTTTATTCATATTGTTGCAACAAACTATCAAGAATGATTTATTAATTCGAACCTCTTACTGCATTAACATTTTAATTCCTTTTAATGCCTGATTTTGAGGTATTTAGTTTTCATTATGTTGGATTTCATTAGTCAGGACAACCCCTCTTTTGTGTGATCAATCTACCTGTATAAATGTCCTTATTTAACACATCTTTTTGAGAAAATTATTTGCAATCTTCTTCAACTTTGTGTTTCATTTTCGCCTTCCAACCTTTTGATTCGAGCAACCCTGATGAGACTAATGTAGTAGAAAACCCATCTGGCTTAACAAATTATAAACCTGATATCTTCAATGAGTTTTTACAACTACTGGGTTGGTGCCACTGCTGGTTGACATGTTGTTCCCAAGAATATTACCAGCCCAGTAGTCAGCACTTTATGCTGACAGAAAATCTAATTGATATGGTCTCTTATTTCATAAATTTTCTGTTAATAAAAATTTTTTGAACAGTTCAAAATACTAAGGTTTTTTTAACCCCCAGGAATAGGTGGCCTGAGCTCTATTTGGAACAATTTTTTAAAAATTTTTGCAATACTCTTTAATTTTATGTTTGATTTTCGCCTTCAATTTTTTTATTCGAAAACTAAGGATGAATCTTATGTGCACAAAACCTGGGTCTGCATAACAAATTATAAGCCTGGTACCATTGATGAGTTTTTAGACAGTAAGCATACTTGAAGATTCCTGTACCTTCATACCCTTCAGGGCAGAATAGTTTAGCTTACTTAAGAAAATGTACATACCTGAACTTGAATGTATTTAGCTTGCATGAGCAAGTGTACAAACCTGAACTTGACTGTATCAAGCATACCTGAGAAAGTGTACATACCTGAACTTGACTGTATTAAGCTTACCTGAGAAAGTGAACATACCTGAACCTGACCATCTTGACACACATGATAACAGAATGATTACCTTGTTTGACTGAACCAAAGGATACATACCTGAGCCCAACTGTATCTTGACACCTTGACACACGTTGACAGACGGTTAACCGTGTTTGCCTAAACCCCAGGAAACATACCTGAATCTGATCATCTTTACACAAATGTTGACAGAAGGATGATCTGGTTTACATTAGCCCCAGGATACATACCTGAACCGGACTGTATCTTGACATACATGTTGTCAGAAGGATAACCTGACAGAAGGATAACCTGACAATCCTGTTGTCAGAAGGATAACCTGGTTTGCCTGAGCCCCAGGATACAAACCTGAACCTGACTGAATCTTGACAATCCTGTTGACAGAAGAGTAACTTTTTTTGCCTGAGCCCCAGGATACATACCATGATACCTGAACCTGACGATCTTGACAATCATGTTGACAGAAGAGTAACCTGGTTTGCCTGAGCCCCAGGATACATACCTGAACCTGACTGTATCTTGACAATCCTGTTGATAGAAGAGTAACCTGGTTTGCCTGAGCCCCAGGATACATACATGAACCTGACTGTATCTTGACAATCCTGTTGACAGAAGAGTAACCTGGTTTGCCTGAGCCCCAGGATACATACCTGAACCTGACTGTATCTTGACAATCCTGTTGATAGAAGAGTAACCTGGTTTGCCTGAGCCCCAGGATACATACATGAACCTGACTGTATCTTGACAATCCTGTTGACAGAAGAGTAACATGGTTTGCCTGAGCCCCAGGATACATACCTGAACTCGACTGTATCATGACACACTTGTTGACAGAAGGAGAACTTGGTTTGCCTGAACCCCAGGATACATAGTCTACTGGGGAATTATCATTCCATCTAAAATTGGAGTAATATGATTTAGTTTATCAAAAAATATCAATCCAAAGTTCTTATAATGTACATGAATATGAACAATTTTAAACTGCTTATAGTGACTCGAGTTTCACCAGTATCACCCAGATTACGATTCTATGTTGACATTTAGGTTTGAATTTAGCCTAAAAAATACCTATTTAGTCTTGAGAATTGAAAGGTCAGTTTAACCCATTCATACAATAGAAGTTTGCCTAAGAGGGTCTGGATAGGGTGTACAGAATTTTAACGCTAAAGAAAAATGCCCTAAAAATTTAAAGAATACAGATATTAAAAACCCCTATCCACATCCTCATGTCATGTACACAGTCAAAATATAGGACACCATTGTTATTCCAAGACTTAATTGGCTGAGACAAAATGCAAAGTTTATTGACACCTATTATGTGTCTTTATCACACTCAGGTATCTTTAGCTAACATTTAAAATTTCTTTAAGTAAAAAAAATAATTTTGATTTGATTAAATGATTAATTTTGGTAAAGTTGAGAGGCATATAAAACTAATTAGGGGATGACCAGACCTGGTTATTTTAATTTTTGTATTTTACATGTACCTAAAGTAGATTTGCTTAATATCTTTTATCATTGAAAGTGGCGTCTTTTTTGCCACACTAGCAAAGGAGAAGGTCCGGTAAGGGCTAGTTTTAGCCTATAATTTGAAGTACATCTGATGAAAGATTTTTGACATTTTTTAAACACTTATGTGTGTACTTCAGTCGATTCAATTAGTTTATGTAAAAGATTTGAACTGATCTGGTCTTTAAAGACGCCCGAATTTAAGCTTAAATATGAAAAACTATCAAATATGCCTTAAAACGTCACTTTTCGGGTGGTTTTTGTCTAAACTGTAAGTGGCCACATTCATGTTCTTTCTCAATCTTTATATATGTTATGTATTATCAAGAAATACAGCACACATTCAAGTATTAAGACTGACCACAAATGCTGCCACTTCAATTTTAGACTAAAACCGTCTTAAAATTATCACAAATGCTAAAATTGTGAAGATTTCAGTAATTTTGCATGAGTTTATGATGCTAGTACCTGATACATGTGCATTGTAATGTCAAAAACAGCCCATTTTTACGGAGCAAAAGTATTCTACTTTCCCATAAATAGCTACAAGTTTACCTTTCAACTTTGTAAAAATGCTATATTTTGGAGCCAAAAAGAAGTCTTACCATGCCTACTCCTTTCCATATGACCAAACATTATGCGGTTAAGGCTTTATTGTTTGGTAACTTGTAAATCTAGTCAAACTGGTTTCTGACAGCTTGCTCCTACCCTGGATGTCTATTTAACAGTGACCTAAAGTGTTTGTGCTTAATCACATTATACTGTAGTGTTTATTGATTTTCTCTTGGGGTTTCCCCTAACAGTGGCCTGAAATTCGAATTTAATATGAATCAATATAATCTTTGTCTAAAGTTTGTTTTATGAATTAATACTGATATAAAAAATAATTGGAATTTTATATCCTGGTTGATGATGTTTTTGGTGATGTTTTCTCTTTTTCATTCTTGTTCACATTATGATTATTTTAACTTTCAATGATCGAAAACTGTTTTATTTTATCATTTTAGTATATCAAGTAATCAGAAGAGGTATTGTCTACATTTATTTTTGGTCTAATGTTAAAACCGTTAAACCAACAACCGAAAACCGTCCGAGTTGCACAATATTCAAAAACGCGGTTTTGATCGGGCCTCGTTAATTGCATTTTGTGTTTCAGAACGAAAAGTACATTTTCAGGTGCAAACAGACATTTTAGTCCATTTGCTATGTTGAAATATTTGCATTTGAAATATTTTGTAACTAGATAATCCTCCTTCGGATATTGGTGTGAACAAGAGAGTGTAATAGAAAACCTGCCGGAATAGTCTATTTTCTATAACAGACAGGCAGATAGTATTTTCTTATATGTGACCATCCATGAAATTTTTCAGGCTTATGGAGAAAACGGGTCAAATGAGTTTTTTTGCATTTTCATGAAATATACATAAATTCAAAACACCTTGACAAGTTATTTTGCAAGATTTGGCAAAATAAAAAGAATTATGGTCATTTGTGTTGTGTTATTTTATTAAAATTTTCATTTTGTTTCTTTCAATTTTTCACATGTATGTTTATCTATTTCTTTGACACTTGTCATTTTTGTTTTTGGGGTGGGGGGGGGGGGGGTGTCTAGGGTTTTTAATGAATCAAAATAAAATTGTATCTTTAATAACTAAATAACTTAAGAATTTTTATATCAATATTAACCATTCGGTTGCCATAGCAACAATGTATCGGACTCAATCGAAATAAAAATGACTTAATTTTTCGTAAGTAAAACTAAATATATGCTTAGAAAGTGAATACCAAGATATGTAATAAACCATCAAGGAGCTGTGTATTATTTAATATTCTTTAATTTCTTAGGTTAATTTTTTATCTTATTGTCAATACATTTTGTACATTTATCCTGACAAAGTGATTAAATCAAAGGTCTGTTAAGGTAGAGTAAGATGAAACAGCCAAACAGCAAAATCATTCATTAGGGCATGTAGATGAAAAGGGGTGTGAGAAAACATTCAGCATTTACACATGCATCTTGTTTTATATTTAGTTCTAGGACAGGGAAAGATAAAAAAAAAAAAAAAAAAAAACTAGGAAAACTAGGAGCGACCTTGGGATGGGACACTATTGACTATTGGGAGCCTAATTGGCAGGCATATCTTGCTTGATTTACATGTACCGGTTTATGTCCATACTTATTTTGATATTTTCCCTTACAACTTGAAACAATGCGAATTACTGTAAATACTTGGAGGCTGTGCTGCAATCTATATTGGTAATTAATTAAGAGAAATTTACGCACCAGTTATAATTTTTCGGTACTTTATTATTCTAAATAATATCTCGCAATGGTGATATAATCCAAACTATTTTGTATAATCAAAACATATTAATGACTCAGGAGAAATTGATTTACGCATTGAAACATAAAAGATAAATTGTATGAAATTAAGACGCGATTCTAAACGGGATTTTAACCTAAATCATAAAAACGTAAAAAATCTACTTGTCAAGAAAAAATGAAACTTCAGTTTACAGTATGATATAATTGAACATTTAATAACAGGTGCCCTGATTACGTTACGTGACTTTACATCGATGTTTTTTCATTATGACGTTTACCGCCATAAGCCTGGAAACGTCATGGCGGGTCACATATCACAAAAACACAACTATGTAATGAAAATGCAATTAAAAGGCCTAAAATAACCCAAAATCATTCAACATTAGCAGAGCTTGAACAATTTACTCAAAATTTAAGTATAGGTAAGAATATAGGGTTCTTCTGTACCTTAACAAAATCACAATAACAATAGAGTGACCTAAATTTTGGACAAGGTAAATGGCATGAAGCCAAATTTATCAATTCCTATTGTTCACTGGGATAAACTGACTTTTCAATTCTCAAGGCTAAATAGGTATTTTCTAGGCTAATATACCGCCATAGATGTCAATATAGAATTGTAATGGGTGATACTGGTGAAACTCAAGTCACTATAAAAGTTCCAATAGGGACAATCAGTTGATAACTCATCCTATTACGAGCATGTAATAAGACCAAACTACTAAACTTGCAATGTTATGTCTGGTAGCTTTGTACGACACATCTTTGTTTCTATGGAAATATTGTCCTTTTTCTTTACCAATAGTTGCTGTTCTTTTTTAATTTTGAAATTGAATATTTGGTACAAGGAGAAGGTTGAATCTTGACATGCTATTTGTTATACAGTGTGTCTCCTCTAATCAAAGAGCTTGAGAGCATGGAAGGGAACAGATGGCTTTCATTTTGTAATGTGGACTTACAACTTGACATTGAATTGTATTTTGCAATAGAACACATATAAGCAATATTTTGAATTGGAGTAATGTTCCTATGTTCATAATTGTACATTTGTATTCGAACCTATTTTTAAATCTGATAGATTCATACACCATGCACAACTTATGCATTTTTCAATAAAATGATTTTCTTAACAAGTATGTATATACACATCATTTTGTAACTTGAATACCTGAGTATATATTATTAAAACATACATGACATAGCGTGGATAGGATTTAAAGAATGTTCACCTCGCTGTACTACGTTGTTTGAACTCTCACAGTTAGAGATGAGGTCTTGAAGATAGATATCAAGCCAGAGAAAAGAGGGTTTTGATAGCGTTTTATAAACTCTTTACCCCAAAAAGTGAACGTGTTTTTTTTTTTTTTTTTTTGTGTTTCAGTTTAAACGACTTTGATGCTTCCCCTCTGAATTATGACAAGATTAGGTTTTGTTACACAGTCTTTTGCTTTTACACAGTATGCAAGTTTGTGATTACATCATGAATATACAGAGCACAATTAATTCAGAATCTCTTGCATACATTTATTATTGGGATTGTAGAGCAATGGACATAAGTGCCAGAATTGATTATTGCTTTTTCAAGAATACAGATAATGCAATGAACACTAAAAATGTGAGAATTATTTTTGTCACAATTTTTGCAACGATACAAACGTTGAGAAAATTTCAGAATTTACAATATTCCTATCTAATGAAATGGTCTTTCAGTAAATCTCGGTGTTACTTTTATCTGTTGAAGCATTCCAATTCCTTTTTGTGTAATAAAACTCAGGAAAAAGTAACATTACTAAGTTGGAAATGCAATGAAATGATTAAGGCCATTATTTATTTATATTTCATTTACAGATAAAGTTTGTTGTCAAGTGGCTGGTATAATGATGGGAGCAAATAGTTCTCCTTTAATTGCAGATTTATTCCTTAACTGTTATTAATCACAATTTGTTGCTAAAATTCATGAAGAACTTACAGAAAATTATAATATCAGGTCAAAAGCTAAAATCAATGGTTATTTGTTGATCCAGGGTGGGTCATTAACAAATGTTGGGTAGGTAGGCAATTTCCGAAGGTTGGTGAGGTCACACCTGCCAAAATCTGGTCTGCTGACCTGGATGATTATAGAAGTTATCCCCATGTATTAACACAAATGCATGTGTTGTCCTGTTTAGCAAACCCCCATTAGTAATTCAAAGTAAAGAAAAGTGTGACCAAAATATTTGTTGGACAGACAGACGCACAGGGAGATTGCAATATTGCCCCACTTCTAAAGTTGGAATATAATATGCCATAACCAAACTATCAATGTGTACACCTCAATAAAGACACACCTTTTATGACATCATCACAGCAAGAGACAAAGTCTGTAAATTAAATGGAAAAGAAGTGACGTGATGTATTAAGTCATGATTCATTTGCAAACTCAAAAATCACAAAACCGAAAGCAGAAGAACACCGCTTTTATTTGTAATTCTTCTGAAATTTGGTGCCTTTTTTCATCTAGAATACCTTTACAAAGAATAGTACAAATGTTACCTGTAGCCTTCATACTGATGATTTAACTTATTCAGACCAATCCACATTCCAGACCGTCTGTAAATCTAAAAGTAATATATATTCATATAAAAAAATTATATCAATTACTGTGGATTTTGTTTATCTTTATGGGTATCAATTTCCATGGATTAAGGTAAGTTTGTATCTAACTCTGCATACAAGCCTATATAAAATTTGTTCTTCGTTTAACATTCAAATTCACGGTTTACCTATACCCAGAAAATCCTAAAGACATTTACGACCATGTTGCCTTATTTTTAGATTTTGACTTTGCTAATTTTAGTGTTTTCCTATCTAAAACAGTTTCTTCGAAAAACAAAAGAACAGATAAAAATCACATTTCAAGGCAACAACTCTCACAAATAGCTCACTTACCATTTCGGCCATGCTAAATTATCTGTAGATCTTGACCCGATATTGCTTTTTTACTATTAACAGTTTCTATCTTATACAGTTTCCGCAAAAACTTTCAAAAATGGGTAAAAATTGTCTTTCAAAGGCAATAACTCCTCTAAGGAGTTGACTTACCATTTTTGCCATGTTTGACTTATCGGTTGATTATTTTTGTTGTATAAACTTTCTCTTTTTCTACAACAATTCACATAAAAAACACAAGGACAAAGGCAATTACTTCTAAAAGGAGTAGACTGAAAATTTTGACCATGATATTAGCCAAATCTCAACAAAAAATTGTTATAATTGTCATTTAAGAGCATTAACTCCTATAAGAAATTGTTTGACAGTTTTGGACTAAATGGAAAGCAGGTAGATTTTGACATTTAGAAAATTTTTGCTGACCGTCAGAATTTTTCTTTTAAAATCAGTTTTAAAGATATTGGACAATATTTGTGTTTTACCAACATGTTCTAATTTCAGCCTCCGCAGGCATGTTAGTTGGCAAGCAGAATCATCAGACATTTTTTTTAAACATAAGCTCAAGCACAAAGGCTGATTGCAGTCAAGTTTGGTTCTAATTGGCTAAGTAGTTTCAAAGGAGATTTTTTTTAAGTTAACAGAAAAGGTCACATGACCATGTGGGCGAGGTGACCTAAAAATGGCAAAAACTATACAGATGTACCACATATCTAGCTCTCAAATGATTCTTGCCTATAATGGGCAATTTGCAGTACCCAATTTAACAAAAAATGGATCATGGCCAGGTTGCAAAGAATGTTTCTTATTCAAAAAAGGGCAAAAAACATTTGTTAACACCCAATGGCAGGCTTAGAATCTGGGTTTATAGATGAAATAATTTCTGTGAAATTTCAGAGATTTGGATTGAAAACTGTAGTAGTAGGTGGTTACACAAAATTGGTTTTGTCTTTTGTAAATTTTCTAAAAAAGACTCAAGTTCTCAAGTATGAACAAATGGATATCAATTCCACAATTCCATTTAAGTCACTTTGTTATTGAACTTGAAATTGGACTAATATTCAAAACTTAATCAAATTCAACTTTGTAATATAACTCAAGGCAAAAATAATAAACTAGAGGCTCTGAAGAGCCTGTTTCACTCACCAAGGTCTATGGGCATCTTCAACAATACACACTCTCAAACATTGTGGAGAATTCATGATAAAAATCTCTTTTTTGTTGATCTTGTATTGTTGGTAATTTTTTTATTTTTTTTTTTGCTCAATAGTTTCTCTCGGTCTTCTTTAGTTTTTGCCGAAAACTCATTAAAGGGTTAAAAAATCTGTCATTAAAGGGCAATCACTCCTATAAAGAGTCTCTGGTTTGTTTCAGCAAAATTTTACTTAGGCCACAACAATTTGATTAATAGTTCTTTGGATTTTCCCGCTCCTGTTTTGGAGAAATTGACTTTTCAATAAAAAAAAATAATTACCGCATCCGCCAATTTTTGGGCCGCATGCCGCTCCAAAATTAGTTTATCCTTGACATTTTTTTTTCTCTTAGACGTTTTTCTCGTGCATATATTGCTCCGAGCGATTGAAACGCACGTGTGATAAATCGATTTGTAAATAAAAGGTCAAAAATCGGGATGCCAACATGAACTTGTGTCAGATCATTGCCGAGGACACGTAGTTATTAAACACACAGTTATTTGGAATGCATTTCGGTTAACCTGTTCTAGGAGACAAAAATAAAAAATCTTTCGTTAGATGACCACGATCACATCAGTACTTGTTAGAACCATTGTCATCCCCGATCATTGTTTCAACAGACATAGTCAGAGATTACTCCGACGTCCAACAGCTGTTTGCCAGACAAGATAGGGGGCTGTTGTCCCACGGCCCCAGCTTGTCTGGCAAAACAGCCGTTGGACGTCAGAGTAGTCTCGGACTACAACAGACATAGATATCTAGAGCTATCTGTCTTGGATGAAATTAATATTAAATTCACATGAATTTTTGAAAAATGACAGATATATCTTATTTTAATGAAAACTCCATATCCCCTTGTTAGTCTATTGACATGCAATCAGAACTCTTTTGTAAGGGAAAATTTAAGAGTTCCAACATTCGAGACTAAAGTGGTGGTATTGGGATTGGCATGCTAATAATAATTAGGGATGTGTTATTGGTGCAACCACTTCCAGTTTGAAATACATTGCAGGTTTCAGGGGCAAAAGGAAAAAGTATTTTGCTAAGTCAGAATAATGCATGTGAATGTGGTTAAATGTATTTTAAGGGAATAGATATAGGAAGATGTGGTATGAGTGCCATTTAGACAACTCTCTACCTAAGTAACAATTTATAGAAGTAAACCAATATAGGTCAAGGTACGGCCTTCAACACGGAGCCTTGGCTCACACCGAACAGCAAGCTATAAAGGGCCCCAAAAATTACTAGTGTAAAACCATTCAAACGTGAAAACCAGCGGTCTTATCTATATAAAAACGAGAAACGAGAAACACGTATGAACTACATAAACAGACGACAACTACTGATTCCTGACTTAGGACAGGTGCAAACATTTGCAGCGGGATTAAATGTTTTAATACATTGAGATCTGCATGCATAGCAATATAATTATCTTACTCAGGATGTTGTTGAAATATTCACCTCACTCATTATGTTGATCCTATTATGGATAACTAGTTCCAACTGGATGTCAAGCAGCCAATAAACAATCATTACCATATAATGAAAACAACTATATCAAAATATATTTAATATTTTTCATTGGCATTTTTTTGGAATATATACACATATTTTAATTGTATTCAACACATTTCATTTACCTAACTGACATAATTCCTCTTGCTAAACTGCATCTGATATGCTTCCTTAATATATACACATGTATGAATTTAAATGAAAATTCACACAGTCAAAGCTTATTTGACGAAAATAATCAAAAGTATACTAAACCAAAGCGAACCAAAAAGTTGGGTATGGTACAGACTGTACTACAGGCACAAATACATCAACTTATATGCATAAGAGCATGTTTATCCTCCTTTTTCCTTGAAGTAACCCAGTTTTAACATGTACAAATATTCTAAATCGCACAGTTTAAAAAAAAAATTATACCGCTCGCTCCACTTGCAGAGCATCCGCCTCAACAAAACTCATTTTCAAGAAATAAATACAATCAAAAAAATTTCGCTCGCTCGCCCCATATATTTTGGAGCTTTTGTCCGAAAAACTAAAAATCAAATTGGTGTGGCCTTATTTATAAGTCTTGTCTTGTTGCTTATATTTGCAATTTAAAAACAAAAAATAAAATTCATAATTTAAGGGCAATAATAACTCCTATTAGAAGTCGTCTGACAGTATTGATGTAAATGGACAACAGGTAGATCATCGCATTCTAAACATTCCTGCCCCTGGCCAGCAGTTTTTCTCTATTAATAGTGGTTTTCAAGATAATAGACAAAACTTGGATTATGCCTACGTTACATTTTAGCCATATTGGCCATGTTGGCTGGAAAGCGGTGTCATTGGAACATAATTACTGAAAGTGAATATACCAAGGATGAATGAGGTCAAGTTTGGTTTAATTGGGCCCAGTAGTTTTAGAGCAGATTTTAGTCAAAGTTAACGACAGACAACAAGTGATGAGAAAAACTCTCTTGGCCCTATTGGCCAGGTGAACTCAAAATGAGTAACGCCTGCACACTGAGAATCATGATTGTAGGTCAATCGGTTAATGAAAAATTAGGAATGGACACAAGTCACACATATACTATTCCAACTATACTCTGATAATATCTTTTGTCTCTGATAAGCCAAAATAAATTAAAACGTAGATATATATATATTCTTTCAATAACATTATGTTCAAAACTTAGCTTACATGTTCTAAAATCCAATTACTTTCATGCTGAGAATGGATGCTAAGTAAGTTGGATTTTTTATCGTTACATATTTTTGCCGCATCTTTGAAATTTTTCCTGTCATATGATTTCATTAAGTAACAATAGCCATCAAAATATAGCCAATCACTATCACAATATTCTGTAAGTAGAAAAATAATATCAGAATTGACAAACATTCTTTTCCAGTATTCCATACAGATAAATTGATACCTGTGGATAACAATTGAAGCCACTTGGAATGCTTGTGATTTTTCCTTCAACTTTTGAAGTTTTGAATCAAAATTTTGTTTTTTTAAATTACAAAAAGTAGAATTTGTGCCTTTGTAATACCTTGACCATATACGCAGGGACGTTAAGGGCGTTTCAAGAAATATCCCATTTTTATACACAGGAAAAATCATATTGAATTCAAAGTTAATTTTCTTTGCTTAAAGGTTAAAATGCACGTCAAAAGCGTAAACAGAGGGAAAAGGGTCTATTCTGAATCACATTCCAAACTTTTATTTATAGAAAAATATAAATTAGTGTCACGTGACTTCAAACTGAAAGTAAGGACATTTCCTAAAAAAGTCAAAAGGGCAGGTGCAAGATGAAATCCGATCGCCGTGGTTTTTGGCTCCCTGTAATCAGGATAACTTATTTTACTGGAAAAGTGCTGTGCCTAGTTTTTAATAGAAGTGTTGTAAATAAAAAAACAATAAAACGTGGAGAATTTTTTTGATTTATTGACTTTTTGGCACTTCGGGTTGTGAAATTTCTTTTACACAAACGCTGTATAACTAGGCACAGCACTTTTTGAAAAATTTGAAATGTGGCCTTTCTACCAATACCAGAATCAAGTGGGTTGGTATAGCTCTTGCACCTGCCTTTAATTAATTTAGCATGAAGTAGCATTATCGCCTTGAAATGCGAGAGAAAAACGATTGAATGACCCTGCAGTAGTCGGATCGGCTGACGGAAAAACTCTGTGTATTTTTTGTACTCACCGTGAAGCGTTTCATATAATAACGTCATGTTGGAGCGAATAAACAAATATTCTCTTATTGCTTGCTTAATTTATTGAAGGTTCCTATACAGTATTGGGTTTTTTTCAGGGAATTTTCATTGTGACAGGCTGGACTTTCATAAAATAGAATATTTACATCTTCTTGCATTCCGCCTCTTGTGTATATCACCGCAAATGGCTGAAATGGCAGAGGCGGATTCATGTGGGCTCTGATCCCTTGTGTATCAACCAATTTATGGTTAATGTATACACTTCTTATATGTCCATAACTTCGATTAGTGTTTGGACACACACCCCCCCCCCCTTTTTTTGTAAAAATCCGGAATCTGCATCTGGGGTCATAGTGCAGTTCTCATTTTTGCACATGCAAGTTCATTATATAATTAATAGTATACTATAAAGTCTCTTCTAGTGCTTGTATATTGGGAACCATTATAAATTTTAATGAAAAGAGTTGTATTTTCATACAGAACTTTATACCAAAATTCATGATTTTTTTTGTTTGCTCTTTGTCATTGACAATGTTTTAATCATAAATATTAACTCCTACCTGCATTTAAATATTCACATTTTACTAGTTGAATATCTCCTGTATCTCAAGTGTGACTGGTATCAATTTGTAAATCATGATTGGGAGGTCTTTTTGAATTTAATTCTGGTGGGGTAGGGTAATTTTTTTGCCTATGAATAAATATGAGTTTTCACCAGTTACCAGGCCAGTATTTTGTATGGCTTGCTTTTTTTATAAAAAAAAAAATGCTATGGCATTGAGTACCCCATACTTCAAAAAAATGTACCTTGAGCTCTCATTATTTATGCTTACACTATAATATCATTAAGCGATAACCAGTTCGACAAATATCGGATGCATATATATACACGACTAATTTTAATCGCATCTGTGAAAAAAACCCACATCCAATTAGTTTCAGATACATGTACCTGTACCTATGATTCAATCAACAACCTTGTCATATATACATGTATCATCTCAATTTCTCAACCTTATAGTTTACATTTATACCATGAAGTTAGAAATAGTGACCTATTTTTTTCTGCTGCTCATTTCATATTAAATCCCTGCCTACCAGTGTTCACCAATACAAATGGACAGCCAAGAAATAGCCAAAAGTGCTTACATGACATTCAGCACAATCAATCAATTGTTTTTTCGTTATCAAGTGCCATAATATTTTAAGGTTCATCTCAAACATGTCAAAATCAGAAAACTTATTTCCCATCACCTGCTGAGATTGGAGGCAACTGAATGGTATTTCTTTTCTGTCAGAATAAAAGAAATTCTATGTACCATATATAATATAAATACACAGAAATGACTAACTCAATCACAATTAATACATATATACACAATCCAAAAGTTTCAAGCAGTGTCAGGTGAATGAATCATGACATAGTGGACAGGACAAACTAGTCAGCATGGAAATTAAACTGATGTGTAAATGTTTATAAAACTACTGCCTACAAATATCATTGACAAGGGTACAATCAGTGGTTAATCTTTACCTGAACCAATCACAAGAGTAAAAAAAATGACTTTATTGTAAATCAAAACTTCATTGGCAATTATACCAGATCATCTTTTTTTATATCAAATTCTAGCTGTAATACAAAAATATGTGTGCAATTTCAAACTGAGAACAAATCAATTTCTGTCTGTTTTGGGGATGCTGTCTCATTGCCATACATGTATACCCAACATATTTTGCTAAACATGCTAAATATAAGAATCTCTAAAACAGTTACTGTGAAAATATTCCATCACAAGATTCCAAGTTTATATATCCTTCAAAAAGACTCAGAATTTTTTGAGTAAATTTATTTCCAAGATAATTTTAATTATTGAACAATGTAAGGACAATTAAAAATGCGAGATTAATTATTGCAGTTTCAGAAAATCCTGGATACAAATAATACCATCATTTAAATAGATTTATATTTTTTTTTGTCAAACGTATACAATTGTATTTACTAATTTTAATTTAGACAAGAAATGAAAAAAAATTCTGATTTCTAAGTATAGACAAACATGACAAATATATAAGTATAGATAATTTTTTTGTTCAAACATTCTGTGGCTGTTACAGAGGTCTTGCTCAGTATAGAAGGTCAACATCAATATGACTAAGTCACTTTAAGATAAACAACAACTGCAATTAAAACACTTTTTTATGCTTCTGAACTTTTTGTATACCTTTATTCTGTGTTAACTGTTATGAAATGAAATGAAATTGAAATATAAATCATGATGTAATATGATCTTCTTGTTCTCTGGTAAGCTGGTGGACAATATATAATATGACTATTTGTTCTATGATGAAGAGTTGTTAATTTATTTGGCAATCATATGTCATATTCTTAGTTTTATAATTACATGTAACTCCATTAGTGGTGCATCAGTGAATTGTATGCCTACATGTATATGATAGTATATCTAATGTATATCTAGGGAGGATTAATGTTTAAATCAATTACTATCTTTTCCCCGTAATTGCCATACAAATAACAAAACACTCATATAAGTCTTATAAATGAATATCTTCTTCTTTACAGTTCAACTGAATATCATATGTCTATTTGTAGATCTCTCACTTGGTCAGATACAAATGTATTGCAGATTTTTCAAATATTTCATGAAACTAGAAACGACAAATTACATCCATGAAATATAATTTTGTTAAATGAAATCCTTTTTTGAAACTCCAATTGTAAGAAAATTCACAAATCTCCAAACTGTCTGTATTTAGAATTCATTTTAACTGAGGTAAAAGCTCTTTAAGATGGTAAACATCAACTTCAGTGATACATGATGATGAAAAAGAAGCTAAATTGTCTAGTTAATTTTCCTCTGTCTCTCAGCATCAAAACACTAAATTCCAATTCATTTGGTCTTGAAACAGTCAATGCTTCTGCTTAGTACATATATGTACATTATATAGAATTGCTGTCTTTTTTCTACTTTTCATGGACATATTTGGTGGCTTTCTAAACAAATTTTAATCAGATCTTCCGTAATGGCCATGATCAGTTATAAGGAGCTTTCTACTGCAGGTCATCATCCCTGAAATAAGAAAATACAAATATAATATATATCAAATGAAATTTTCAACATGTGAAAAGTAATCAAAAGTTAGTGCAAACATATTTCTTCAAGAAGTTACTGTTAAAATGCTAACAAAATAATTTCCCTGTCCTTATTTAATAATGTCTTCATTCATCATTTGAACAAGGATTTCATTTTCCACACACATTTTAATAAGGTGCACTACATGTACTTTTATAAAACTTTAAAGTTAAATGAAAAATAAACTGTTATCACAGAGATATGTCTCGCCTTTTTGTAATTTTGATAATGCAAATGTTGAAATTAAAATAGCAATACTTTAACATGTAAGTTATGCAAATATTCAAAGTCGATGAACCATGACTGAAGGTACATGGCTAAACAATCTCCATGGAATGAGATGTGCCAATGCTAATACAACTGCATACCAAATACCATTGACTTATTATAAGTCGTTCCCTTTAAACAAACCTAAACACAAACATTAACTTGTAAACTATGTATAAGTTTCAAAGTCAATGAACCATGATCAGGGGTGGGGCTATATAATCTCCATGGAAACGATACTTGCAAATGCCAATAAATTTGCATACCAAATATCATTGACTTAACATTAGCAGTTCATCTTAAACTGATCTAATCACAAACTAATACATGTAAACTTAGCAAAAGTTTCAAGTAAATAGACCATGACTGAGGGGGCGGGGCCAAATATTCGCCATGGAAATGAGATGTGCTAATGCTTATACAACTGAACACCAATTAACATTGGCCTACCACTAAAGGTTCCCCTTGAACTGACCTAATCACAAACTGATACATGTTAACTTAGCAAAATTTTCAAAGTCTAGACCATGACTAAGGGAGCGGAGCCAAAAAATCTCCATGGAAATGAGATATGCCAATGCTTATACAACTGCATACCAAATATCATTGACCTACCACTAGTGGTTCCCCATAAATTGACCTAATCACAAATTAATACATGTAAACTATGAAAAGTTTCAAAGTCAATAGACCTTGACTGAGGGGGCGGGGCCAAATAATCTCC